GGTGTGGATTTAAAATCAGAAAAATCAACTAAAAACTCTAGAGCACTATGAACTTATCTTGATAAGCTATTAATGTAAATATACATCAGATTTTTCGTATGATCTCGACGATTTTTTGTGATGACATAGAATGAGCCATCTCTTTCTTTCGCGTGGGTATCTTAAGAGAAGACTAAGGGAATTATGATCTGAGGTAATGATCGAAGGATGTGTCCCTATTTAAATTTCACCAAAGCCTAAATGTGGTTGCCAATCCGTCTGCTAGGCATGGTTATTGCTGTGTGTGTGTGTGTGTGCATAATATAATAAATATTAATCTGTACGTATAAAACTTCTTCTTGAATTACTCTATCTTTTGATGGCAACTGCATTTATCCGTTGCATAGTTTAATAGGTCTGAACGTACAAACGATGGTAAGCGACTTTGTTATTACTACGTAGAGACATGTCTATAGATAAATACATATAGTGATAGATAGATAGATACTCTTTATTGTTTCCTCCAAAAGATTACAATAGTAAACTTATTATAAATATAAATAATTACAAGAAATAATCACAATGAGAAAACAATGGGCGGCCTTATCGCTAAGAGCGATCTCTTCTAGGCAACCTTTGGATGGAGAGGAGTAATTATAAACAATTTGGTGGGAGGCACGATGAAAGATTTTGTTAGTTCTAAATATGGGAAATGTGATACATATATATATATATATATATATATATATATATATATATATATATGTAGTGAATAAAGGAACGTTATCTAGTAAATGTCAAAGGACATTCTGATTTATTGTGACAGCGCCAAATAATATGTTTCGCATGTAAACATTCTCTGGAATTAAGCCAGGGTGGCATGTTGTTTAATGTTAGCGCTTTACCAGGAAGTGTTAATATCCGGTTCGCGTGACGTTGAATTTTTGTAGGATTAGAATGGAGAGCATTGCTGATCTAAATTATTACTGAACTGCTTCAACAGAATAAAATAGAAGTAATCTTTAGTAAATTAGACTCGTTTACAAGTTATTTTTAAGCGACTTTAAAAAAATAAGACGGTTCTCGGTTCGGTTGTTTGTTTTTTCATGTTAGTTACCTCATAACTACGTCAGTTGTATACCCACTTGGGATTTTTTTTCTGAGGATGTACTTACAGATTGGTCCCATAGCATTTTAAACATATCGATGCAGTAGTTTTGTTTTTAAATCAAAATCACTGGGTTTGTTTCAATTGAAGTCGGTTTTTTGGGACACAATCTTTATTTCTTGAAGTCTATTGATAAGAGACGGTCTTGTTGATGGCAAAGGGTTTTTGGAACTTAAATTACTATCATGAATTAGTTCTCTTTATTGCCACGTGATCGCTATTAGCATTGTTTGTTACAGAAAAGTACAACTAACATACTATTACATCAAATGCACTGTAAGTTTGAATAATAAATAAGTATAAATTAATTATAAAAAAAAGCCCCTATACAAACAAACCTAAAACAAGAGCTCGAAACAATGATCTTGAAATGCCTGAACAGATCTTCAAAAATTGCAGTCAGTTCTTGGCTCTATCACGTCAGCTTTTAAACAAAAAACCGCGTCTTAATCTGTCCATTCGTTTAGAAGCTACGATGCCGCAGAGACATACAGCACTTTAAACTTATAATACCCTTCTTTTTACGTTGGGGGTTAAAAAAGAAAAAGAGGGATCTAGGGAGAGATTTTTCTGATTCGAAATAAACACCGTCACGTAGTTAAGAGACAATAAAAACAAATATAAAACAACAAAAGCTATTAGCAAGTCCCACGTACAAACTTTATTGTGTTCCGTGTCCTAGAAAATTATTTTATTTTCACACTTAGGCCCTGTGGTAAAAACATTTTATTAGGTGTAGTGGTAATGGGGTATTTTCTTCGTATTGTTATTGTTATTGTATCAGATAGGACATTATTATATTCACACTAATTTTTACCTGCAGCTTCGTCCGTTTGATCAGGACATGTTTAATGGCCGAAATATATATAATACGTGTATATCAAACTCCTATAATTAAATTGAAAATCGTTTATCGAAGTCACTTTTCAAGTGGCTTCAAATAGAAGGAATAGAAGGGGGAAAAGGGATTGAAGGCGTTGGAGTTTGACAGCCCCATTGCTGACAATGCGCCCTATAATGTCGACCTACCCGTGGTTCCTCCTGAAAACCATCGTGAACGATTTTTGTTGAGTTCGTCACCAGTGGCGTAACTATTTGGGGCTTGTAGCAAACTTTTTTGATGGGGCCCTATCAGTAAAAAAAAAATACTTTTCAAGTAAAATAAAATACTCAGGTACAAAAAAATATTTTTGAGCTCGCAGCCTCTTGAGCCCTTTTGGGTCGGGGGCATGTGGCATTTTGCCAGCCTTGCCACTCTATTGTTACGCCACTGTTCGTTACGATTAACTAACTGGCCTGCTTTACCCTCACCTGTCATCTCTCACTGGTGCCCCGCCAGTGTATACCGATAGCGCGGCTGGTGTTCCCATCCCATTATCACCCATCAAAAAAAAAAATAGAAGGAGGTACTCGATACTGTTGTATTTTTTTTAATGTTTATTACCTCATAATTCAGTTAGTCCTAAACCGATTTGCAACATTCTTTTTTATCTAAAAGGATATACTTACAGATTGGTCCCGTAGAAGTTTTATCAAAATCGGTTCAATAGTTTGGGTTTTAGATCAAAACAACTGGATTTGTCACAATTGATGTCGGTTTTTTCTGGAACACAATCCTTACTTATTTTACGTTAAACTTCAGTTAAACTACATTAAACAGGAATAACATCAGAGTCCTTAGGAATGGCAACGCATCGGGGGTATCATGGGCGAAACAGTATACTCTGTTATGTCCACGGTACTGCTCATGTCTATAGGCGACGGTTACCACTTTCCATCAGGTGGGCCGTCAGATTGTTTGCCATTCTAGGTTGTATAAATAAAAAAATCACGATTAAAGCCGTTAAGACGCCAACAGACAAATTCATTTCCACACAACAGTAGTAAGGGTTGAATAAATATTTTTGATTGCAGACAAGGCAACGATATTACGGACGCTTCCGCCGCCCATGATGTAAATTGGTCGTGGAACAAACGTCTCGGAGGGCCTACCATGAAATATTTTCCGAAATTTCGGGCACGAACGAAACTGAAATTTGATGTTAAAATTACGTTATACATGCCGTTTAAAGTTGTTAAAAATGTTAAAATATCATTCCTCTGCACTATTAGGATAGGATTTATGATGTACGAAATATTAAGCTGCATTTACTGAGCCGATTTCGGTGCGAACAAAAATACGAAATTGAGCCCGAAAATTTGGAATTTCATTTTATGGTAGACCACCGGGTTCTATAAACATGATGAATCTCCCTCCGCGTTCTTTATTGTTAAAGATAACGACTCCTAGCGTTTTACGCTTATGTATTCTGTTTGGAATGTTTTTAAGATAAATTTTATATTCGAAAGTTTATGGATGCAGAGGTTTCTTTGTTAAAATATTCATAGTGAGTTTGTTTGTTTGCTAAATCAGTTATTTTGATTAACAAATAAATTTGATTTACCAGTGGGAGATTTTGTACAAATGTCGTTTGTTTGAGCACCTCTGTCCCATTCGTGTTTCTACCGTGAAGCAGTTGTGTTTGCATGGCTGTGTTTCGGTTTGAAGGGTGGGGTATGGCAGTGAATTTATTGGATACAGAGGATTAATACCTGAGTCCTCAGGTATGGCAACGCATAGGGGTATCATGGGCGAAACAGTATACTCTGTTATGTCCATGATACTGCTCGTGTCTATAGGTGTCGGTTATCACTATCCATCAGGTGGGCCGTCAACTTGTTTGCTATTCTAAGTTGCATAAAAAAACAAACTAAACTACTTAGCCGACTTTGATAAAATTATAAGGCGCCAATCTGAAAGTACATCCTTTCAAGTAAAAAAAAAGAATATTCCAAATCTAGTTTTAACTGACGGAGATATGAGATAACAACCAACACAAATGGAAAAAAACGCTGAACTTAGAACCTACCATTCTGAAGTCGGTTAAAGAAGGGAGTTCTCTATTCGTCTGTATTTCCTGTGTAGCTATTTTACACGTTTATGTCGTCAGTTCTGAATAGATTTTTATATTTTTTTTTAACATTCGATAGAAAACTCCGTTTGGTCCCATATCATTTGCAAGACGATTGAATTGGCCGTATTTCTTTGTAAACATTTTACTGTTCTTCATATTGCGAAAATTCAATTCATCATCGGTCAGTTGATAAAGAAGAAGGAAAGAAGGAAATATTTTTATTCCAGTTAATTCAGGTTTAAACATTTTTGAATAATATTTTTTTTTTACCATTATCGATTACAATTATTTTTTGACGCACACTAATGGTAGCGGAATTAAACAAAATAATTCTAAATGGATTTCTTTGTGGAACAAAGAACTGTTTGTTGAGAAGTCTATTTATAAATAAGCGAGTCTATTTATAATATTCTGCTATTGAGTATAATTACGCAGTTTCAGTTAAAATATTTACAATGCATGTGTTTATGTAACATCGCGTCGTTCTTTGAATTTTTATGTATGTGTATTCGAGCATGGATGAATTCGTGGATGCGTGGGTGCGTGCGTGGGTGCGCGCGTGGGAGCGCACTTGGATGTGATAATGCGTACTCTGCGTACGTGCGTGTTGTCGGTGTGTGTTTGTGTGTGTGTGAATGTGTGTTTTATGATTGAAGCTGCTGTTTTTTTATGAAACTAAATTGTTTACTTCACTAACATTGTTTATTAAAAATATAGTCAAAAAATCATCCTTATAAGAAAGTTATTCTTTAAATGTGCTTTATTTTTTAACATTGTAAGACTGTAAGAGATCCCTCTATGGGATAAGTCCGCCATTGTATATTAAATCATTTACCAGTATTTAATCTGAGTTATGTACGATAAAGATTTTTACAATTACAATTGTTTTCGTTTGTCACCAGACGACGGCGGCCGCTGTTTGCCAGCGTTCGCCGGGAGGAAGCTCGGTGAAATATGTAACAGGGAGAACCAATGTGATGCCGGTCTGGTCTGCGAAGAAGTGGTACCAGGTACGTATACCGAGTAGAAGGAAATAGATTTTCTTTTTAAATAGACTTTTTTCAAGCTCTTTCAAATCGTGAATTCTTTATGATTCTACTGCTAAGTTCGGAATGTTATCTGCTGACAAGAACCCGTAAGAAATTCAGCAATTTCTGTTTGCCCCGTGGTTGACTTGTAGAGAACACCGTTCGATGTTAAGTCCGCCATATGTAATATAGAATTTAACAACGGCGCATTAAAGTTTAAATAAATAAATATAATAATAAAAGTGTTTTTCTTAAAAAAAAACCAGATTTCAATTACGGCATAACTTGTTATTTTGATTGAAAACTAAACTACAAAACCGATTTTGATAAAATATCCAAAACAACAATTTAAAAACCTTTCAGATAAAAAAAATAATTTTCCAAATCAGTTTTATCTGTTATGTCCATGGTACTGCTCATGTCTATAGGCGACGGTTAACACTTTCCATCAGGTGGACCGTCAGCTTGTTTGCCATTCTAAGTTATATAAAAAAAAAAGTTAATAACCGACGGAGTTATGAAACAAACAAAAATAAAACACAACAGAAATGTGAACCGTCTTATTTTTTTGAAGGCAATTGAAAATAATTCTAATCAAGTGGCTAGTACTATTCGTTTGTTTACATTCTCATTATGTTTTATTGAAATACTCTGTTAACTTCATTACTTGTCGTCATTATTAGAGTCACGTATGTTAAGACCGTCATTTCTATAAATACCGCTGGAGTCCCTTTATCCTTGTTTCGTGCTTCAATTAATAAATTGCTGTGACCTTCCTTCTGTTTGCTGGTGGGTATGTTTAATTAATTACTTAATGAAGACTAAAATTATAAGCAATGGATTTATATATGACTAGCTTTTACCTACGACTTTGTTCCCCTGAATTTGTCCGGAAAATATCTACTATCCTTCGTGTGGGCTCGGTATAGAATTGGCCACCTCTTTCTTTATCGTGGGTGTTTTAAGAAGCGACAAAAGGATGGGCAGCAGTGTCCCTCTTTAAATAATAATAATAATTTATTTATTTGCTAGAGATGTGGTAATAATAATGGTCTTAAATATAATAGATCTACACATTTCGCCTTATCTAAAGGCGTGCAAATTTAGTATTATAATTTAGTGGCTTACGTATATTAATAGCCTAGTAGGATCAATCCATAAATATTGGCAGCCGCACACATACTAGTGGTAGCAGACTAAACAAATACAAATACAAACTAAACAAAAACAAATACATAACAAGTCAATAATATAACAAATGTCATACAATACAAATGAAATTACACATTTGCATACATTCATTTAATTTTTTAAAAAGTCATTTATTAAATAAAAATTGCATTCCAGTAACCATTTTTTTAACCGTAATTTAAAGTGACTTACTGATAGTTCTCTTATTGATTTTGGTATTTTATTATATTAATAAACATCTCCAAGGCCCTAACTGCTGTTGCTAAACCGCCTGCCAAGCGTGGCAACTACTGACAATACCCCCCAAGGGGAAGACTCATGTTCAACTGTGGACAAATAACAGCTGATACTAAATATAAATTATTTTAACAATATGTGCATAAAAATCTTAATTGAAAGAAGCGAAGTACACAGGCAGCTATGGGCGGTCTTATCGCTAAATAGTTATCTTCAAAATAACTCTGTTACCTTAAAATTTAACCGTAATAAATCAGCGTGATCTATCACCTAGGTAAGAGGGTAAAACTTTTCAAATTACCAAATTATATTTACCCGTGAGTGTTGTAAGAAGCAACTAAGAGGGGCGAAGAAGGGCAGCAGCGTCTTAAAACATTTCTAAAGCCTAACTGCGGTTGCCAATCCGCCTGCCAAGCGTGGCAACTACTGGCAAAATCAAGGGGAAGATGTTCAGTGGAAAGTTAATAGCTGATACAAAAAATATGTATATAAAACACATTATGTATAATTATTTCAGTATGTTTCAGTCACATATTTTTTAGCATATCTGTTCTCTTCATACGCTTTCTGTTTTTACCTAATGATTAGCTGGTAGAGAATACCATATGATATTAAGCTCGCCATTTGTACAAAGTTTTATTGTGCAATAAAGAATAAATAAATATATAAATAAAAAACTCTACTAGTGGGAGACTTTGTATAAAAGTCGATTGCTTGGGTCCTCTGTCCCATTCGTGTTTCTACCGTGAAGGCTGTGTTTCGGTTTGAAGGGTGGGATATGGCGTGAATTTACAGGGTACAGAGGAATAACACCGCCTTACTGTACTTATACAATTGTATCGTTGTGTTTGTAAATTGTCTCGCTTATTTCCTATATTGTATAATGTAAATAAAGAATACTCATTCATTCATTCAATAACACCTGAGTCCTCAGGAATGGCAACGCATGGGGGGTATCATGGGCGAAACAGTATACTCTGTTATGTCCATGGCACTGCTCATGTCTATAGGCGACGGTTACCACTTTACACTAGATGGGGCGTCACCTTGTTTGCCATTCTAAGTTGTATAAAAAAAAGTCTAATTTGAAGTAGTGAAGTAAAGACGCAGCTATGGGCGCCTTATCGCTAAGTAGCTACCTTAAAAATAAAATTGCTATCTTAAAATTTAACGGTAATAAATTCGCGAGATCTACGATTTATTAAATAGGGCAAAACTTTTCGAATTACAAAATTACTTTACTGTGAACAACTTGAAAACGAAATTAAACAGCTTAAGTTTATCAAAGGAATATTATAAACTTATACAGAAATTCTTTTTTCTCATATCTACAAATTATTTGTTTACTTTTCCCCGTTTTATATTGAAGCAACGAATTTTATGAAACATAAAAGAAAATATGTGGGCGTCACTTAAAATGTTTCCAAATAAGATTTTATTTTCAAAGAAAACTTCCAGACCAGCGATACAGAAAAATCAGGCCAATCAGTATATACAAAATCTAACAAATAGTCTAAAAACATAATGTTCAATCAATAAGATAATAATAAAAAAAATACAACTTCGGTTGTAATAAAACCGGTTATTTTGATTTCAAAACTAAATTATTGAACCGATTTTGATGAAATTACCAATGGGTAATGTCTGTCTTTTCAGAAAATATAAAAAAATTCCAAATCTGTTTATAACTGATGCACTTATGTGTTAAGCAATTAATCAATCAAACAAGCAATCAATAAAGCAATCCATCAATAAACCAATCATTGAACCAACAAAATTAATCAAACAGTCAATCAATTAATCAATCAATCAACCAACCAATTAATCAATCGATTAATCAATCAATTATTTATTTACATGTAGTGCGCTATGTTTAACATCAGGTTTTATTCTTCGCAGGTGAAATGCACGTGTGCCGTCCACCGTCAGCTGGTCGCAAACAGTACAACGATGATTGCAACTCCTCGAGTGAATGCGACATCACCAGGGGATTGTGCTGCATCATGCAGCGTAGACACCGCCAGAAGCCCAGGAAGGTAATAACTTTCATGAGTAGCAACGTCGCAAGATTTTTGCCTTTTGTGGGTCGCAACATAAAAATTGTTGAGAAACACAGAGAATTACATGGGATAGAGAAGAATATAGAATAATATTTCCCTGATCATATTGCGATTAGGCAGACGGAGTCGCGGGAAAAATGTAACAGGTTGTGGAATGAGCTCTCTGCCGAGGTTTTCCCAAGAGACTACAGCATGGGGTTCTTCAAAAGGGGGGTAAAGAGGTTTCTTCAGGGTCGGCAACGCGCGCGTAATACCTCTTGTATTGCAGGCGTTCATAGGCTACGGTAACCACTTACCATCAGATGGGCCGTAAGCTTGTTTGCCAATTCAGTGGTATAAAAAAAAAGATTGTATATTTCGACCCACGTTCCTTTAACATATTCGGTTACACTGGCAGAACTCTGATAATTTTTATATCACCCTGTGTAGCTGCCGTGAACTTCCCGAATGCAAACATCAGTACAAACTTTTACAATTATAACGTTAGTAAGTCAAATAATTTCGGTTACGAATTGCGTTCAATTTGTTGAGTTCGTATTGTTGATTTCTGGAATGCAAACGAAAATTTTGTGTGTATTCAAATCTTAATTCTAGGCTTTTGCTATTATTACATTACTTATTATTTTACATATTATATATAATAATAGTATGTTTGTCCTCTAGTCCTGGCATAGAATAGGCCATCTCTTTCTTTCTCGTGAGTGTTGTAAGAGACGACTGTAGGAGTTTTTTTTTATACAACTTAGAATGGCATGTTTGCTGACGGCCCACCTGATGGAAAGTGGTAACCGTCGCCTATAGACATGAGCAGTACCATGGACATAACAGAGTATACTGTTTCGCCCATGGTACCCCCCATGCGTTGGCATTCCTGAGGACTCAGATGTTATTCCTCTAAAGTTTAATGGTCGAGGGATGAGTAGCAGTGTCATTCTTAAAACATTTCCAAAGCCTCACTGCGGTTGCCAATCCGCCTACAAAGCGTGGCAACTACTGGCATAACTTCCAAAGGGGGAGGCCTATTAGCAATGGACAGTTAAAGGCTGATTTACCCGTTACTTCGTATGTGTGGATTTGAAAACTATAGAATACCAATGAACCACTTAAAGACCACTTTTATCTAGATGACGTTTTAATTTAAAAAATATAAACATATGTACATGGAAGATATTTAAATTAAATATCTTTCATGTACATAAATCATCTAGTTACTCGAGAGTATACTCTGTTATGTATAATGTACTGTTCATGCCTATAGGAGACGGTTACCACTTTCAATTAAGTGGGTCGTCAGCTTGTTTGCCATTCTAAGTTGCATAATTAAAATTAGTAGGATGTACGTAGTATATATTTATATATGTGTATGTATGTACTGTTGGTATACGCTGGCGAGGTACCAGTGAGGGATGATAGGTGAGGATGAAAGAAGGTCAGTTAGCTCATCGTGACAAATTCTATAAAAATTAAACAAGATGGTTTCCAGGAGGAACCGCGTGGAAATCAACCTGATAGGGTACATTATTAGCAATAGAGCTATTAGATCCCCATTACTAACAATCCCTTCCCCCCACGCAGTATATATAGTCCTTGTCATTTTGTACCTATTTAATTATCCATGTATATTACTCGTATATATATTCTCTTTCTGGTTTTTAGAGCTGCGGATACTTCAAAGAACCCTTGGTCTGCATCGGTCCAGTAGCTACGGACCAGATCCGAGAGTTTGTGCAGCATACAGCCGGAGAAAAACGGGTTGGCGTTTACAGACTACACTAAATTAACTCACTACATTTACACAGTATATAATAGACAGTTAAAATACACACAAAAACTTATTAACATGATAAATTGAAATTTTAAATAGCGATTGGTATTCTTATTCATAAAGAATACAATCAACTATTTTGTAAAAATACAGTCAACAAAAATTAATTAATTACATTACAAAATGTAAATACCAATTGCTATTTTTATTTGCATAGAATACAATTAACAAAAATAAACGAAATTTTAATGTAACTGTCCATTACAGACTGTGTAAAGTATGTTTCATAATATCTTTTACTAATAAAAATATTATAATACTGACTATACCTAACCATGTATGTTATATTGACATATAATAAATACATCAATAATGAATTACATGCTTTTATTAGTAAAAGGTAAGGGGAATTGGAAAAAAATGTTAAAAGTTTTCCATTAGTTTTTTTAATATTATATTATATTATCTAAATATAAATTAATTAAAATATTGATATAATTCATACGAACAATACTTTGGAGATCATAAATATAATGTTTCATGTAACAGGCAGTAATTACATGTTTATGTATTCGAGATTAATTGCAGTGTATTCTGTATAACTGTAATTAATCTGTATTTAACATGTAATTGTATTTACTTCACGATCATATGTTAATTAATAATTTAAAAAAAGTCTATATAATTTATGGTTTGCAACTTTTTAATTCGAAACTTTTAACATTTTTTCTAAATTTTAAATCAAGCTTGGAAATTACGTTATTAAAATGTATAGTAAAGATAAATTAATTTGTAATATTGTAGTTTATTTTCGTGAGTTAAATAACTTCTTAACATAATTAAATTATTTTTTTAAATTTAAATTTATTAACTAATTTTCTTAAATATCAATACACTAATGACTGTTTTTAGCTATTTTATACTATCTATATATTTTTTTTATGTAATTATTACTTTTTTAATAGTGTAATTTCGAAGCGTTGTTGGAAAAAATAAATGAATATATTGCTTTGAATAATGGTTGACCGATTAGCAATGATGCTTTTATTTCGAAATTATTAAAGTTTTAAAAAATTAAAAAAAGAATCATATAAAATATAATAGACAAAAATCGAGACATATCATTTTAGTTTTTATTTTTAATTAAATTAATTACATGTGTAGAGATTTTAGAATTTAACAAAATTAATTATAATGGATGTTTAAAAACTAATTCATACTTATGAATGTTATTTAAATATTAGTAATTACAGCGTGAAACATCGCATTATTAGTATTCTAATATGTTTAATCATTAAATTTAAAATTAAACTATGATTAGATTTAAATATTAATTGTAACTAAGTCTTCAAAGATTGAAACAAATACATATCTTACTGGCTGGGGCATTTATGGTATAATTGTAGTATTTAATAATATTGGTGTTAAATTTATTATTATATTAAACTACGTACTAAACATATCATGTATAAGCATAAGCTGCTCTTTACCATATAAGTGTAATATATTTTTTCATTTTTTCGCTTAATTTTTTATTATAAAATTTTAGGTAAAAAAAATTTTCGAATCAAAACTATTCTAGGTGCCTAGGTAAAATACATATCAATATAATAAATATAGTCGTTTTTTTTTAAAAATTAATATTAGACGTAACACACTTTATATAAAAAAAAAAACACACGGTTTTAAGAAAAAAAAAACACACTGTTGTATTTTAATAATGATGAAAAAACTTAGCCTAAGTACTGTGATGTGTCTACATATTTTCTGAAGATGTATAAGTAAAAATGGGGGAAAAAAAAAATAAAGGATAAAAAAAATATTTTTCTGCCAATGAATCTTCTAAATAGTTGTTAAAGATATCAAATATCTTCTCGAATACATTTTCTATTTGTTTACTGGTTACACTTTTCGACATGGAATATTATATATGAAAAGTTACAGATTGGCCTAAGAATTAGTATGGCTTATAGAAATAGTGAAGCAAGAAATTCATAATATAATTGTTAGCTAGATATAAGTTGAATTGTTGTACTGTACTGCAACTTATGTATTAAACATATTATTATGTGTTATAATATACAAATTATGTCTGCAATGTAGTTGTTATTTAATATCCTATACATTTGAGTCGTACGTATACGTGGGTGTCGTAAGAGGCAGCTAATTCGTGTTTCAACCGTGAAGCAGTTGTGTTTACATGGCTGTGTTTCGGTTTGAAGGGTGGGATATGGCGTGAATTTACTGCGTACAGAGGAATAACATCTGAGTCCTTAGGAATGGCAACGCATGGAGGGGTATCAAGGGCGAAACAGTATACTCTGTTATGTCCATGGTACTGCTCATGTCTATAGGCGACGGTTACCACTTTCCATCAGGTGGGCCGTCAGCTTGTTTGCCATTCTAAGTTGTATAAAAAAAAAGCTAAGGGAAGTTAATGGTCGAGAGATAGCCAGCAGCGTTCCTCTTAAAGTCTAACTGCGGTTGCCAAACTCTCTTTATAAATAGGCCTGTTCCGTAATTAGTAGTGGACAGTTAATGCCTGATGAAAAAATGTCATATCACATTATTACGTACCCGGCATAGGATGGGTCACCCCTTCCTTTCCCGTGGGTGTCGTAACAGGCAACTAAGGAGGGCGAGGGATGGGTAGCAGCGTTTCTCTTAAAGCATCTCTAAAGCCTAACCACGATTGCAACCCGCCTGCCAAGCGTAACGACTACTGGCAAAACTCTTCTTATGGGGAAGGTTTATGTTTAGCAGTGGACAGGTAACGGCTGAAATAATAATAATAAAATAAGTTTTCTCCCTCGAATACTAAGGTTATGGAATGAGCTTCCTGCCAAGGTTTTGCTAAGAGACTACAATGGGGTTCTTTAAAAGGGAGGTAAAAAGGTTTCTTCAGAATTGGCAAAATTCGGCAAATCGCCAAATCGGTAATGCCCTTTTTTTTAAAACAACTTAGAATTGTAAACAAGCTGACGGCCCACCTGATGGAATATAGTAACCGTCGCCTATAGACATGAGCAGTACCATGGACATAACAGAGTATACTGTTTCGCCCATGATACCCCCCATGCGTTGCCTGAGGACTCAGGTGTTATTCCTCTGTATCCAGTAAATTCACGCCATATCCCACCCTTCAAACCGAAACACAGCCATGCAAACACAACTGCTTCACGGTTAAAACACGAATGGAACCGAGGTACCCAAGTAATCGACTTTTGTACAAAGTCTCCCTCTGGTAATGCCCAATGCCCCTGGTATTGTAGGCGTTCATAGGCTACGGTAATCGCTTACTATCAGGTGGGCCGTATTCTTCTTTGCGACCTCAGTGGTATAAAAAAGATCAAATAAAAATTCAAAGTATAACTCATTTATATTTATTAAATAACAATAACCTAAAATTTACAATAATAGAGTGAGTAATGTTTGAACAACACACAGCACCAACTGCAGAAGTCCAGGTAGCAGTCCACCGCCGATTCCAATCAACACATCATCAGCTAGATCAGTAACTGTTGATATCAGGGTTGACAGTAACCCTTGGATATTAACTATGTTGGTGGGCGGAGTGGACGGGTTAGCACCGGCCGCGTACTCGGGTAGTGATCTTAAGAAGTTGACAATTGCCAACGCTTGGGAGTAAAGCTTCAACAGTGACGTCTCCAATGCGCCCAAGTCTACGGGTATCATGCAAGTGATAGAGGGCGGTAGTGTGTCGAAGATTGAAAGAAGTGAGAGCAGAAGATTGTAGACATTATTCAGAAGTGGTAGAAGAACATTGACGAGGGGGTATACTGCTGGGAGCTGGACGCCTGTCGCTGCGACTGGGGGCTGTGGATAGAACACAGAAGTTAGTATTAATTTTCGACTATAATTCATGGCTTTGCACACATGCAAATTTGGATGAAAGTATCCTAAACTTGTAAATATGTTTGTATGTACATATTTATTAACTCTTAATTGTAAGTTACATTACATATATGAACTGACCCGGCAAACATTGTTCTGCTATATCAATTAGGGATACTCTAAGGACGTCATCATATGAGCTCTTGAATGTCCACTGATGAAGTCTTCTCCATAAGAGGAGTACTGGGATTGGCAAACGCATTTAGATTTTTTAGAGATGTTTTAAGAGGGACGCTGCTGCCCGTCATCTGACATCAGTGGCCTAAGATTCATCATCATCATATTATTTTTTTTTTTACTACGCAGGGGGCAAACGAGCATGCGGCTCACCTGACGGTAAGTGACTACAGCCGCCCATGATCACCCACAACACCAGCGGCATTGCAGGTGTGCTGCCGACCTTTTAAAACTTTTAGCCTTTAACTGTCCACTGATAAACATAAGACCATAAAGAAGGGTTTTGCCAGTATTTGCCACGCTTGGCAAGTGGGTTGGCAACATTATTACGCTTATAAATTTCAAAAGACGGTAGCTAAAGCAATCTCTTCCAGACAATATTTGGGTTGGGAGTAAAGAAACAATGCGGTAGCTATTTGGCGCAAGAAATGTGTCTTATGAAAAATGCTCATTTTAATATTTTATTTTATGTATATATGTTTGTTACTCAATAACATTTAAATTTAGCTATTTATTTATTTACTTTACACTTTATTGCACCAAATAAAAAAAAATAACGAATACAGTAAATATTAAAGAGAAGTGATACAAAAGGCGGCCTTATCGCTGAGCAATCTCTTCCAGACAACATTTGGGTAGGTATTTATTGGATTTGAATAAAATTTGAGTAAGTTATATCCTAACTTAATATCTATGTATTAAGTTAGGATATAACTTATGTATCCTAACTTAATACATAGTATAAGAATAGATATTTTATGTGTTGACACATGCAGGGAAATAGTCATGGGAAAGTTAGCAGAAACAATGGCAGTTTTAAATGTCACAAAGTTAACATGGCAGACCCTGTCGATTGCAAAAAGAACCATCAATATCGGCTCAAAATTTATTAAGTAATTGTGTACCATTAAAAATGTAAATTCTGCAAACTAAACAAGCACATGGCCCAACTAGGCTTATGCCCAAAAAGTGTTTGCAGATTTTGTCACAGTGAGGAAGAAACGCCGCAGCACTCAATGTGTGGCTGTAGCCTATTCGTACATAAACGATATATCTCCTTTGGAAAACACACTCTATACCTTGAGAAGATAAAAAACATCGCTACAAAGAACATCTTAAAATTCCTATCGCTGATAGGAGTTAGCAGCGAACTTTACAAAAGGGCGACCACAAAGATCATGGAAAGGTCGCAGTGTCACAGATTTTTCTGCCTAAAAAAACCGTTCTTTCAATAATAGAAAATATGGATGAATTGAGAACTCTCCTCCTTAAAGGAATAACATGAAAATATATTTAAAACTCACCGTTAAAGTACAAGCAGCGACTAAGAACAATGCAAGCGTTATTTTGAGTGACATTTTTTTTTTTTTAAAATATATATATATTTTTTTTGCTTGTCAATTTCGTTTTACCCAAAACACCTTACTTCCCCAAATATCTGATTTACTTTGTATTAAAAAATAATATTAAACGTAATATATATATGAAAAAATTGCAAAATTACATAGTAGATAATATAATATGAGAAGTTGGCTTAATATTAACACATATTGTATAGTATATTGTTAGAAACATATAACATAACTTATGTAACATATTACTATGTTATCAAACTAACATTGTTATCAATATTGTTTTAATAGGTGAAAATGGTATGGTAACCCCGCCTGCGCTATCGGTATACGCTGGCGGGGCACCAGTGAGACATGATAGGTGTGGATGAAAACAGTTGGCCCATCGTGACGAATTCCACTAGAATTCACCAAGATAGTTTCCAGAGGGAACTGCGTGGAGGTCGACCTTATAGTGTATATTGCTAGCAATGAGACTGTTACGCCCATTTACTAACAATTCCTTTTCCCCCATGGAATGGTAGTTTTTTCAATGGTAGTCACCTGATGGAAAGTGGTAACCGTCGTCTATAGACATGAGCAGTACCATGGACATAACAGAGTACACTGTTTCGCCCATGATACCCCCTATGCGTTGCCATTTCTGAGGACTCAGATGTTATTCCTCTGTACCCAGTAAATTCACGCCATATCTCACCCTTCAAACCGAAACACAGCCATGTAAACACAACTGCTTCATGGAATGGGACAGAGGTATCCAAGCAATCGACTTTTGTACAAAGTCTCCCTCTGGTTAATAATAGAATGGTGACCTACCTGCGCCATTGGTATATGCTGACGGGGCACCAGTGAGGGATGATAGGTGAGGATGAAAGCAGGTCAGTTGGCCCAACGTGATAAATTCCAAAAGAGTTAACTACAATGATTTGCAGAGGAATCCGCATAGAGGTCGACCTGACAGGGTATTTTGCTAGCAATGAACTTCGTCTCCATTACTAATAATCCCTTCTCTCTCGCCCCATGAAAAAGCATATGAAGTAACAAATTATATTATACATTATTATTTTACTTTCTACTTGAAAGAAAGAAAGAAAAAAGAAAGAAATATTTTTATTCAAGTAAACTACAATTTGCTGTGTGCACCTGCAATGCCGTTAGTGTTGCGAGTGATCATGGGCGGCGGTAGTCACTTACCACCAGGTGAGCCGCATGCTCGTTTGCCCCCTGTGTTGTAAAAAAAAAAAACTTTTCATTATTCTACCGTCTATTCGGAATATAATTTCAGCCAGGAAAAACAAGCACGGAACTCAGTCGTTGATTTAATTAAAAAGTTGGATTATTTACGTTATGAACTTTGTTGTGCGTGGAATTTGGAAGTGGGTAAAACCGTATGAAATAAATATACCCTCATCAAAATAATATACATAAAATTTGAATGGGCGACCAGATGGGATCAGATCAGAAACAGGGATGGGAGATGGGAGATCAGAAAGTAAGCAAAATGTATACGGGAAATGTAAGCCTGTTTCATTTAAACTTACCTATATTGTATACAGGAAATGGGCTGGTCACATAGCTCGAAGAACCGACAACCGATAGGGAAGAAAGGTTCTTGAATGGTGACCATATTCGGGCGAACGTAGTGTAGAACGACTCCCCACTAGATGGAGTGACGACCTGAAATGCATTGCAGGGAGTTACTGGATGCAGGTGGCTCAGAACAGTTCTTCATGGCAGTCTATGTGGGAGGCTTATGCCCAGCAATGGACGGATAATGGCTGGAATGATGACGACGATGATATTTGGAAAATCTCATACGTTTTGTTTACAATAGCTTTTTACATGATTTCAAAAGAAAAACACATAATTTTAAAATTATGTATTTTTTTAGCTAGTTTTACTCATAAGAGCGACAGAACATTTGATACGTGGGGTCTTATAATAATATTAAAATATAATAGAAAATATCTCGATCTGGCTCACGAGGTGACCGAAATGTGGGGGGGGGGGGGTGACGTCCACCGAAATCATTCCAATCGTTTTGTCGGTGAACGGTCTTATCCCAACCAGTCTGGAACAACATCTCAGACGGTTGGGATTCCGAGGCGGCTCACTCCCGGGAAAGATGCAGAAAGCTGTGCTTTTAGATTCTGCCCGCATTGTACGCCGGTTTCTCTCCCTGGGGCCCTGAACCCAGGCCGACTGTGCTTCTGCCGGGGGTTAGTTGCCATCTCCTCTCCTTAAGAGGGGAGATGAGAATTTTGTAAAAATTTAATAAATAATAATAAATTTATTGCCATTTTTTACAAATATGGTACACAAATTAAAATGTACATATATAATAAATGAATAAATACATTGTGCAGTATTCTTATTTTTTTTTTATACCACTGAGGTGGCAAATAAGCATACGGCCCATCTGATGGTAAGTGGTTACCGTAGCCTATGAATACCTGCAATACCAGAGGTATTATGCGCGCGTTGCCGACCCTGAAGAAACCTCTCTAGTTAATTATCATTGTTAATTTTTCTCCCATCATTATTATTTTGACTGTTACCTGTCCACTGTAACATAACATAAGCCTTACCTAAGGGGAGTTTTGCAAGTAGTTGTGACCCTTGGCGGGCGGGTTGGTAACCTCTTTTTTTTAAGGAATAGTTTTTTTTTTGTAACGAGTGATTATGATATGGTAACCCCGTCAGCGCTATCTGTATACACTGGCGGGGCACCAGTGATAGATGACTGATGAAGATGAAAGTAGGTCATTTAGCCCATCCTGACGAATTAAACTAGAATTAGTCACGATGGTTTCCAGGGGGAACCACGTGGAGGTCGACCTGACAGGGTATACTGCTATTAATATGGCTATTTAGGGGGGGGGGAAGGGATTGTTAGTAATGGAGATTGAGAATCCTATTGCTAGCAATATACGCAACCAGGTCGACCTTCTCGCGGTTCCCTCTGGAAACTATCATGATTAATTCCTGATGAGTTCATCATGATGGGCTAACTGGCCTGTTTTCATTCTCATCTATCACCCTTCACATGTGCTCCGCCAGCGTATCCCGTTAGCGCAGGCGGGGTTACCATTCCATTTTCATCCAATAAAAAAAAAATAGGGCTATTTGACCCCGTTACTAACAATCCCTTTCCCCCCTTAAGGAATAGTATTTAGATTATTATTATACAGATTTTCATACATATTTTTATTATAATTTGACTATATTCATCAAATAATATGAAGAGTTGCTTAACCTAATTAAAGGAAGCCTACATATCGCCGCAATAGATTGCTTACTAATTACATACATTAATTGTTTAATCTGTGACATAATATTTTAACAGATTAAAAATAGATAATAATATTTACCCAGTAACAAATGTAATATAAATGATGTAAAAATATCATTACATTGTGTACAAAATATTGATAAAATATGTATAAATAATGTATGTTTTCACACATTCTGTCATTAACCTATTTGGATTTAGGTTTAGTTAAAAGTTTGAATTTGTTTAATTTAGTTAAAAAAAAAAAACAAGAAAAAATGCGCTCGCATATCGTGCTTGTTGCTTTGTCTATTGTTTTATTGGTTAGTACAAATTTATATTATTATTTACTAGCTGTAATTCGCGGTTTCGTTTACTTGAGTACCTATGTGCTATTTCACAGTTATTATATTAATAAGATAGGATTTAATCATCTATTTTTGGCCTTCTGAATATTTTTGTGATCAATTTTCCTTGTGTCTACTCTGGGATTAAAAAAAAAATAGAACGGAATAATCTGTGACATTTGACAAGACTCGAATTTTTGGCGGGAAATAAAAAATGTTATTTGAATTTATTCCTAATCAATCTTGTTTAGATTCTTTGATTATTTATCATTCAGATAGAGCAATGATTAATAAAAAACGTTCTAGAAAAACGATGAACTATTGACTGACGCGTCATTTTTAAATTGTACTAGATGTTCCCAATTCATTTGTATTTTTTGTGGTTACCTTGCGTAATTATGTTGGTGATTTTGAACCTACTTTTATTATTACTTTTGCAATCGATTCATTTCTTGATGCGGGATAAAAACTATGTTACGAAGTATAATCTATTTAACTAGATAACATTTGTCTAAAATGTTTTCGCGTTCTAAATCAAAACTATTGTCAATCTAATGTGTCTACAAAACTTCTCGTAGGTTATTGTGTGTTTTATCACGATTAAAGTTGCGATTATTTTTAAGAAGCGAAACGCACTTGTTTTTACTGGTTATGCTAGCTCAATCTTTTGACAGAATTAAAGTATCATAAAGTTTATATAAATAAATAAAATGACCGTTTTTGTGATTAAAGTTACAGTTTTAAAGATACTAAATTGCGAACGTAGCATTTTTTTATTTGGGCTATTTCAGTCGAAGCAGTTTTAAGATAGACACTCCATCTAGATACAATTTGCTCCATGATTATCGACAGTATCCATTATAATTATCAAGGGTATTAGGATTGAAAAACAAGATGGCTGCCCATCTAAATAAAAACGGTAGTTCTTTCGAAAAGTATTTAAACGTTATATATTTTTTTATTTAAACAAATAGATTTAAAAGCTTAATCATAATTATTCTCTTACGTTACTATTTTCCTGTGGCTTCAGCATATAGTGAAACTCTAAGTATACTACTAAATATATAAAGATAAAAAAACCCTGCTTTTTTAACCGACTTCAAAAAAAGGAGGCTTTAAATTCGGTTGTATTTTTTTATGTTTGTCACGTCATAAGTCCGTCGGTTGTAAACCGATTTGGATTTTTTTATCTGAAAGGATGTACTTACAGATTAGTTCTAAAGAAATTTTTATCAAAATCGGTTCAGTAATATAATTTTAAGACCAAAATAACTGGATTTGTCACGATTTAAATCGGTTTTTTTTTGTGGAACACAATCGCGTCGCGATTCGCGTCAATTTTCCGTGATTATATCATACGATGACGTCACCAATTATGAACCGATTATAGTGTTTCATTCTGAAATTATTTCCAAAATTTTACTCCTGTATCGGTCTCATATTAATTTTGTAACAATTGAAACTGCACGTTTTTCTATAAGGAGCAAAAACTGCTTTTTGCAATAGCTCATTGTCATTGTAAAAAAAATCTGGCTTTGCACGGGTAGATAGTTATTGTCATTAGTAGATAGTTATTATTTATTTATGTATGTGTATATTTATGTATGTGTATATGACTATGCTGTCACAGATATTATTTTTTACAAATCTATCTTTTTTAACGCGCCACCTACCTACTTATGCTTTAATACCTTCTACCCAAAGGTTGTCTGGAAGAGATTGCTTAGCAACAAGACCGCCTTTTGTACTACACTATACGTATTGTAAATTGTTTTAACAAATCATGTTATGTTGGTGCAATAAAGTGTTAAATAAATAAACAAATAGATAGATATTTCGAAAATAATATAAAATATATGTTAATTATTGATAATGTAGCTTTCTATAGGTGAAAGAATTTTTAAAATCCGTTTGAGCTCTTTTTAATTTTTTTTATTAATTTTTTTTTTTTATTATTATTATGAATTCTTTATTGCACTACAAACATAAAAATGTACAATGTAAAATAGATATTTCAAGTAAGAAACAGTTGCATTTTACCAAAGGGAGACTTTGTACAAAAGTCGATTGCTTGGGTATGTCTGTCGCATTCGTGTTTCAACCGTGAAGCAGTTGTGTTTGCATGGCTGTGTTTCGGTTTGAAGGATGGGATATGGCGTGAATTTACTGGGTACAGAGGAATAACATCTAAGTCCTCAGGAATGGCAACGCATGGGGGGTATCACGGGCGAAACAGTATACTCTGTTATGTTCATGTCTCATGTCTATAGGCGACGGTTACAATTTTTCATCAGGTGGGCCGTCAGCTTGTCTGCCATTCTAAGTTGTATAAAAAAAAGTACAATTTACAATTTTTACAATTCATATTGAAAGAGGAAAAGTCTGCATTACCGTCAGTTCCCAAACTAGGCCAGACCTGTATCTTGGGGATTGCGAGTGCGGTCACCTAATGCTTAGTACACTGGGGGGAAAGGGATTGTTAGCAATGGAGTTTGACAGCCCCATTGTTAGCAATGTGCCCTATTAAGTCGACCTCCACGTGGTTTCCCCTGGAAACCATCGTGAACAATTCGTGTTGAATTCGTCACGATGGGTTAACTAACCTGCTTCATCGTCACTTATCATCCTTCACTGGTGTCTCGCCGGTGTATTCGGTATACATCCTCACCTATCATCTCTCACTGGTGCCCCGCCAGTGTATACCGATAGCGCGGGTGGAGTTACCATTCCATTACCACCCATTAAAAAAATACTTAGTACACTTTATGTAAAAAAAAAAAAAATTATCCATTGCAAACAATTTTGCTTCATATAAGGCATAAACTGTCCACTGCTTAATACAGGCCGTTTCCATAAGAAAGATTTTACCAGTAGTTGCTACGCTTGGTAGCATTTTATTGCCACTGTCCAAAAGAAATAAAATTACAGGGTACAGGATGATGATACATAAAAAGTATCATGGGCGGCACAGTGTATTCTGTGCGGGGTAAAGGATTGTTTGTAATGGGTTCTAACAGCCCCATTGCTAACAGGTCGAGGTTAGAAACCGCAGTTAGACGTTGACGATGTTTTAAGACGGACGCTGCTGCCCATTCATCGACTAAGTGTGGAAATTACTGACTAAATTTTCCTTATGGAGAAGGCCTAAGTTACTATTAAGTTAACTATAATAAATAAAATATTTCGTTTCAGGCAAAAAACAGTGAAGCAATGATCCCGGCGTACTCTGTATCGGCACTTCGATTGGCCTTTGACGAAATCTCCACGGTGTTGCCAATTGCGAACCAGCTAGCTTGCCTCCTGTTGCCATTCCTAATCAATCTGATCAACAATCTGAACAATTTGTCCAACATTGTTCAGAACCTGACTCCGGCCCTGTTGCCTTACTTCGGTTGCACTTTACCCCTTCTATACGCTACCCTGACGGATTTGGCGTCAGTTTTGTTCTTATACATTAGTGTACTGATTTCTTTATTCAGATCTAACGTGCTAGCGGCTCCAGGGCTGCTAATGGGTTTGGTCTCGCAGGTTCTAAACCTTGTACTTGGATTGCTAACAGGGTTATCAGATGGTACTGGCCTGCTCAGCGGTCTGATCAAGCTGATCACTAGTGTATTGGTAGAATTAGAGAAATTATTGCTTTAAGTGTTATTTTTTTTTTTATTGTAAATAAAGTATTTTAATAGGTTTATCTGTTTGGTTTTATTGGATATTGTAATGCGCGTTAGGAGCCCATTCAACGCCTTATATGGTCAAATTGGAATCGGTCTATCATAGTGAAACGCAAACGTACAACGGATTGTGCTCAGAGGAATCATTCAATATGATGCCCACTTTCTATTATCGTACGGCTCGCCATCGACAGGGAGTTCACCCTCATACCTTACAGCCTAAATGGTCGCGTACAATGCGGTTTCAGAGATGTTTTCTCCCACGAACACTCAGGTTATAGAATGAGTTCCCTGTCGAGCTTTCCCAAAAGACTACAGCATGGGGTTCTTCAAAAGGGGGGTAAAGAGTTTTCTTCAGGGTCGGCAACGCGCGCGTAATACCTCTGGTATTGCAGGCGTTCATATGCTACGGGAACCGCTTACCATCAGGTGGGCCGTATGCTTGTTTGCCACCTCAGTGGTATAAAAAAAAGAGACTCTCGTGCCCTAAACCGCAGCGGAGGTGTTTTTTTTAAGGAATTTGGGATTGACAATTGGTTAACGACACGCATAAACCAACTAAAAGCCGGATCAGGGGGATGTTAGAAGTTAAATAGAACACATCCAAGTTTTTATCAATTTTTTTGTTTCTCTGTGTGTTTGTACGGGCTAATCTCCGAAACTGTTGGACCGATTTAAATGAAATTACGCATGGTGGTACCTTATATCCCTGGGGAATATTTTAAAAACTTTTAATCATAATAATTAAACGGCAAATTAAATAGTTCCCGTGGGATAGTTGAAAAACTATAGGAACTTATGCAGCTTAGTACACAACCTGCACTTTGACCTAAGGCAAGGACTGAGAACGACACGTCGTTTGTTAATTTTGGTCCAGGATTCCCGGACATAATAAATAGCTAGGTACATACATTGATACTTACTAAACAGGAATAACAAATACCACACGGATAAAGTCGCGGGCAACAGCTAGTTTATATTAAATATATATGTACAATAGGCGAGCTTAAATCTGTAAGAGATTTCGCAAACCTTTTAACCAGCAAGTCGTTTGGTTGGGCACCTCTGTTCCATTCATGTTTCTACCGTGAAGCAGTTGTCTTTGCACGGCTGTCTTTCTGTTTGAAGGGTGGGATATGGCGTGTATTTACGAGGTTTGTCCGGAAAGTACGTATAAAAGTTTTTTAAAAAATTTATTTACAATTATTCAGGTAAATCAATTTTATCCCCTTCAAAGTACAGAGGAATAACAAATGCCGCCCCCGAGTGCTCGGGAATGGCAAATTTTTTTCAACGCATGGTGGTATCATGGGCATAACAGTATACTCTGTTACGTCCATGGTACTGCTCATGTCTATAGGCGACGGTTACCACAGTCCATCAGGTGGGTCGTCAGCTTGTTTGCCATTCTAACTCCTCTTTCTCGTTGCATACAGGGTACAGAGGAATAACACCCGAGTGCTCAGGAATGGCAACGCATGGTGGTATCATGGGCAAAAAATCCGTTGAATAGAAATTACGTACTGTTTACTTATAAAAGTAGGTAATAACGTGGCCGTGAACTTTGCGAGTTCTTTGTAATACAAAAACTGCATCTTGATGCATTATTTTTAATTACGTACCTGAGTCACGTCATTTCATTTAGTTGCAGTTATATGCACGTATATATATTATGCATTTCTTACACTATCTTCTCGCCTTTTACTTCGTTCACTTAAATTTTAAAAGTAGAGAAACTAATGAATAGGTCACTTCTAGAGGGCGTGTCGAGAGGAAACATTCGCCAGATTTGAAGTTAGCCCTTCAGGAATACAATTGCGAAAAATGTTGCATGATGTGAGATTAGACATATAGATGGAAAGATAAAAATTCTAAAAAATATTGTTTTGGTCTCATTAAGATACAAGATGATGATGATGACTATGATCATCATCATCATCTCATCAGCTGTTAACTGTCCACTGCTGAACATAAGCCTCTCCCTTGGGGGTTTTGCCAGTAGTTGCCACGCTTAGCAGGTGAGTTAGCAACCGCAGTCAGGCTTTAGAGATGTTTTAAGAGGGACGCTGCTGTCTATCCCTCGCCCTCCTTTACGCCTCTTACGACACCCACGGGAAAGGAAGGGCTGGTCTATTCTATGCCGGGATCACACGCCCATTTGCACTTTATACCCCTTCTATTTCACTTGAATTTTTATTTGTCATTGTATATTTTTATGTTTCTAGTGCAATAAAGTGTTAAATAAATAAATCTTTGTAAAATTCCGTGTTGATATTGTAGTAAGATTTACTTTATGCATAATCAAGTAAAATGTATGCCTTACAGTAACATACTAAGGTCAGCAAATACCGCTGTGAAATAAACAAACCTTGAACTTGTTTCCTATAGTCCTATAGTTATACCAGAGGGAGACTTTGTACAAAAGTCGATTGCTTGGGTACCTCTGTCGCATTCGTGTTTCAACCGTGAAGCAGATGTGTTTGCATGGCTGTGTTTCGGTTTGGAGGGTGGGATATGGCGTTAATTTACTGGATACAGAGGAATAACACCTGAGTCCTCAGAAATGGCAACGCATGAGGGGTATCATGGGCGAAACAGTATACTCTGTTATGTCCATGGTACTGCTCATGTCTATAGGCGACGGTTACCACTTTCCATCAGGTGGGCCGTCAGCTTGTTTGCCATTCTAATTTGTATAAAAAAATGTTTTATTTATAACTAGCAATCCGGCCCGGCATCGCACGGATAGATAGAATTTTCGAAAATGCAATTACTAGCCTATGTTCTAATCTTTATTACTTCAATCAATGTTATATCAAAATAATAAAAAATAGAAGAGGCAAATTGCTGGGCCACCTTATACGACATGACGATTTTTTTAAGAGCACAATAGAAGGAAAGATAGAGGGCAAAAGAGGAAGAGGAAGACCGAGGATTAACTACATGGGTCAGATAAAGGAAACACTAGGTGTCATGTCGTATAGGGAGATAAAGGATATGGCCTGGGATAGAGCTGGCTGGAGGAAGATGCATGAATTGGTTGCACCGACAAGAGGGAACTCTTAAATGAAAAGAAAAGAAGCCTATGTTACTGACTGATCTGGATCTGGCTTTCTAAAAGGGAAAAAGGGTGTATACAGGCGTCCATAGTCAACTGGAAGTCTGGCCGTGTGAACTGTATCTTTCTTTTTAAGTGAACAAACGTCCATATATTAGCCGTGTGGTTCCGGCGAAGGCTACTTCTTCTTTTCCCTTTTAAAACATCTCTAAAGCCTAGCTGCGGTTGCCAATCCGCCTGCCAAGCGTGGCACCTACTGGCAACCCCCCCCCCCGTCCTCCCCCCAAGAAGAAGCTTATGTTCAGCAGTGGACAGTTAAAGGCGGATATTTTTCAATTTAATTAGGTCAAGGTCAACAGTAAGACAATTTATTTTGATAGGACACAACCTACCGGAGTTCATATCCTAACTTAGTATATAGGGGGGAAGGGATTGTTAGCAATGGCAGTTTGACAGCCCCATTGCTAGCAATAGACCCTATCAGGTCAACCTCCGCGTGGTTCCCCCTGGAAACTATCGTGAACAATTCTCGTTGAATTCGTCACGATGGGCTAACTGACCTACTTCATCCTCACCTATCATCCTTCACTGGTGCCCCGCCAGTGTATACCGATAGCGCGGGTGGGGTTACTATTTCATTATCACTTATAAATAAAAACTTAGTACATAGGACACTATATGTACTGATATAAACAGAGTCACGGGATATATCAAGTAATTTTTTTGATTCCCTTTTCACTATACAAGAGGAAAGCAAAGGGAGTATATCTTATATATAAAATTCTCGTGTCGCGGTGTTTGTTACCAAACTCTGAAACGGCTTTACCAATTTTCATGAAATTTTGTGTGCGTATCGGGCAGGTCTAAAAATCGGCCAATATCTATTTTTCATATCCCTTAATAATAAGGGTGACCCACACCTAAATATTTTTTTTTACTTTTTGACAAATTTTTACAATTTTTTTTTTTTTTTTTTTTTTTTTTTTTTACAACACAGGGGGCAAACGAGCATGCGGCTCACCTGATGGTAAGTGACTACCGCCGCCCATGGTCACCCACAACACCTACGGCATTGCAGGTGTGCTGCCGGCCTTTTAAAAAGGAATATGCTCTTTTCTTGAAGGTTATGTTGTCGTATCGGTTCGGAAATACTGCTGCTGGAAGTTGATTCCTTTTGTATTTTTGATTACATTTGTATTTTATTATGATTTAGCATTGAAAAATACATACAAATTCAAATTTTCACGTTTTTATGGTCAACCCCTGTTTTTTAATCGCGATTTTTATAAGGTAAGGTTTATAGGTTGCAAGATGGCAATCCAATATAATAATTGTAGTACGATATATTTTCATGTATAGTTCGCGAAATAATGTATATGTTAAAACAACGTTTGCCGAGTCAGCTAGTACTATACGAGTATATAATATTGCCATACTACCATAGCTATACAGCCATTATCTTCAGTTAAAATCGGGCAATGTTTTTTTTTTTTAATTCCGTTTAGTTATTTCAAAGTTCTTCAAATATTGAGATAACATATTTATAATATGGAATTCTTAGATTAAATAGATAAAGTGTCTTCATACAAAAGCTTCGAGAGAAGCGAGTCAACTTTTTCATACAATTTTGCGTGATAAATAATTATGAGTGATTCCTTTGTAACTTCTATATTTATTTTGTTTTATAGTCTTTGATTCTTTTTAAAATATAAGAACTCATTTTATTTATTAAATAATATAAATATAGACACGACAAGATACATTGTCTGCGTAAGTATATAGAACACTGTATAGTAAGAGAATTGTGAAAAAAAAAGTTACTCGCCATTTTGTGGCGGCGGTCATCTTGGACCAATTTCCATCAAGCACAGCTAAAGACATTCCTGATTAATTCACTCCTTTTCTAATTTCATCAAAATCGGTACATCCCTTCAGGAACTACGTTGCCAAAGACAGACACACACACATACATACACACACACACACACACACATACATACATACACACACAAACACATAAAGAGAGAGAGAGAGACGTCAAACTCAAAACAACCCTTCGTTTTTGTGTCGGGGTTTTTCATGCATGATAATGGAATGGTAACCCCGCCTGCGCTATCAGGCACACTGGCAGGGCACCAGCAAAGGATGATAGGTGAAGATGAAAGCAGCCAGGTAGCCCATCGTGGCAAATCTCACAAGAATTAACCATGATGGTTTCCAGGGGGAACCGCGTGGAGGTCGATCTGATAGGGGTATATTGCTAGCAATAGGCTGTTAGATCTCATTACTAACAATCCCTTTCCCCCCTGTGTCAACGACAGTGAAACTCATATCAAAATCTGTTGCGTGTTTTAAATATCAAATACACAATTTGCACCATCATTAACACGTAATGCCAACTGATAATTCTTTCCCAAGATCGTGTTTAATCTCGAAGTTTTTGAGATAAAAATGAGATAATATTAAAAAATATATATGCAATTAACTGATTTATCTGTAAAATGATTAATATATAACAATCACGTGTATGTAAAGAGAGGTTTGTTTGAATTTGTGTACAAAAGTGGATAATGGACGAAAGATGATAGCTTTATTTATTGTTTTATTCTCATGCGTTGTGTTGGTAAGCAGTTTTATTTATACGTTTTTATTTTATTTTATTTTATTTATTTATTTACACTATCTACATCTACATTTACACTAATATTTTAAAGAGGAAAGATTTGTATTTTTGTGTGTATGTATGTTTGTAAGGAATAAACACAAAAAACTACATTGCCGATTTCAAAAATTCTTTCACCATTAGAAAGCTACATTCACCCTGAGTAATATAGGCTATATATATTGCTAGAGAAGATTAGGGATCCTTACTAAAACTTTAGTAACGTAACTCAAGGTATAAAAAAGAAATGCTATAAAATATCTTTGGTCGCGTGCGCTTCGGAAACTGTTGATGATAGAACAAAAGTATGTTCTACAATATTGAAGAAAATATCAATAACTACAAAAAACTTCGCAATACTATATGTCTGAATATTATCGTTATGTCACAATAACCAATTTTTTAAATGTTGTAAAAATGTCCACCCGTGCGAAGCCGGCACGGGAAGCTAGTTACACACATAAAACGGATCATAACCATAAAAAAAACATAAGTAGTAATTACATTTGTGATTCAGTTAGGTTACAATCCAATTACATTATGTGCACAGCTTGAGTAATTCATGTAAAGCAAACACATATGAAAAAGAAAATACATATAATGCTTTATTTTTTTTCTCTATTCAAAAATGCACCGCCTACGTAATTCTCTGTTCGCCCAATGGTTGATTGGTAGAGACCATCGTCCGGTGTTAAGTCCGCCAAATGTACATAGAATTTTACTGTGCATTAAAGTTTAAATAAATAAATAAATAAAAATGCTATATAAATATATAAAAGATGAAACTAACATATATAAAAAAAATATATGTTCAATCATATTTTTTTTTATGTCCAATGTGTAGTGGCACACAGGTATACAGCCCGACTGATGCTAAATAGTTACTGTAATTTATGAACGCCTGGAACACTAGTTTATAAAGAAGCAGCTATTGTGTTGTTTGTTAATAAAAATACATTTTTATTCTCTAATCGTTAATATCATCATCATCATCATTACCATATCAGCCTGTCCACTGCTGAACATAAGCCTCCCCTTAGGGGATGCCAGTAGTTGCCACGATTGGCAGGCAGATTGGCAATCGCAGTCAGGCTTTAGAGATATTTTAATGACCAGTAAATTCAATTAGTCGCCTCTCACGATACCCACGGGAAAGGAAAGGTTGGTTTATTTTATGTCAGTACTACACGACTAAATACAATATATTAATGATTTGTTATCGTTAATTTGACAATCGATTGAATGGATTTTATTGATTAATTAAAAAAAAAATCATTGTAAATATCTTTTCAGGTAATCGGGAATCCTCTAACACAACTGCTGCCACTTTTGTCATCTCAGAATTACAATCAAAATAACTTCAGACAACCTCCAAGCGTGCCCTACCCACCACAGATATCAAGCTACAACACTCCTTATTCACAACAGCCAGCAAGCAATAACAATCTTTATCTTCAACAACTTTTAAATCAAAATCAAATACCAGCTAATAAATGCCCTTGCAACCAATTGCAACAAAATACGGTAACAGCAAGTCCAAAAGAAAATGTAATAAATCAACTATATCTTAATAAATTAACAACAAATCCAGTAATGCAAAGAATTTTAGGCGCAAATGGAAAATATATACCAAATGGCATAGAAATTCCTACACAGCCAACTAATGTGCCTAATACTGGTGTAGCACCAAATATTGTGAATAATTATTATATCTTATCGCCAGAATATTTGGATGCAATTGAACAAGACATAAATGAACACTTTAAACCATCAAGACATTTTCAAAGGGAAGAACATGTAAATTATAATGGTAAAATGCATAGACCTCCACACAGTAGCAGTAGACAGTCTGAAAGCGTTAGACCGAGGAAAAAATCTAATACACGTATACATGAAAATTCAGAAAAAAATCATGACCATAATTCTAGATCTAGAAACAGAGATATAAATCATAGAGGAGAAACCGGTAAACGTAAAGCTGGAAAAAATGACAAAACTAAACATGTTGGTAGTAAAAAAAATGCAACAGAAAGAAATAGGCCATCCAAAACACGTAATATGGACAATAACGAAAATATTCGCAACAGTAGTAAAGATAACGAACAACAAGATTTCTTAGGAAATGAACCATCAGCAAGTCCTGATGTCAATGAATCTCCTGATATTATTTCAAAGCCTGATAATTTGCCTTCAAATATGAATGATGAGAAAGATCAATTGTCTGTTGAAAAAACTACAGTTTCATCATATGAAGGTGACAAACCGAAAAATAATAAAAAAAATAACAAGATTGACAATAACTCGAGAAAAAGTAGAGATGATATTGTAATTAGAGATATACACAGAAAATTTCCCGGTATTCCAGAAGAAGTAATTAGAAAGTTACTAACATACTTACGGCGTCAGTGCACAAATCAACAGTTGGGTAAATCTCGTTCTTCAAAGAATGCTCAGTCACTTAAAACTGAAAGTAGAAAAAGTCATGGAGGCGAAATTAGAAACAAGTCAGGTAATTCTAATAGAAGAAAACGTAAGAAACAAAAAGAAAATACAAAAACTACTTTTTCATACAACGATGAAATATTTGATACAAGTTACACTACTACAGACATAAACTTATCACCATCATCAACAACTGACAAAATCATAGATTACGATGAAACTACTGATCAAAAATTGACAAAAAATGTTACAGAAGTATCATCAACTATAGAATCTGTGGATTTATTAACAACTACACAAGATCCAAATATTTATGACATTATGAAAACAGTTCCAATAGAAACTACTACTGAAACTTATAATTTAGATACTAAAATACCTAAATTGGGCGAAGAAGATGCCATTGATGAAGTAGAAAACTTTGTGGTTGATTATTATCCTAATTTTACCATGGACAATACAAATACAGAGAGTGACGACGATTATATAAGAAATCACAGAGATAACAGACATTTTTATGGATCTGATAGAAATGATCGAAAACGAATAAATAGAGAAAAGTTACAAGGTGCTAATGAACTGTTTAATGATGTTAAAGTAACAAACAATAATAATTATTACCATAAACATTATGATCAAAAATATAATTCTGAATCAACTACGAACACAATTGAGAATGAAGAAAAAACTTCAACTGAAATGAACAACGACTTAAATGATGCAACTGTGACGGAATATATAGTTTTTCAAACACCACCTGTTTTAGAGAATCCCAACTTTCAAACCAGGCAAGTGGATATAAAATCAATTAATAATGACTATAAAAATTATTACCACCATGAATTTCCACGGGATAGCCATGAAATTATTAATATTTATTTAGGTAATTCAAATGATAAGCTATCTTCTTATTCTGATACAAAAGCCATGCAATTTATTGATTCTAAGCACAATAAAGTTACACCTAAAGAGGACATAAACGTTGATATAGAAACGGTATTTGCCAAATCTAAAGTTGTCAAATATGGCCATAATCAGGATCCGTTGAAAGAAGTTACAACGACAGAGAAAATTAATATTATACAAAATAACAAACCAGTCTTAGTGTTTGCAAAATCGATGACATCTGAAGATCCTTGGTAATACAAGGAATGAGAAATAATAATATGAATTAATTATTTGTAGAATAAATAGAAAATTGTGCTTAAAATTTGACTTTTTATTTATTTATTTAATACTCTATTGTATACATTCATTATATATAAAAATATGACAGAGGTAATTAAATGTACAAAGGCGAGTCTGAAAGAGTTCTCTTCCAGCAACACCCAAAGTGGAAAGAAGCATCAATGTCAAGGGGTAGAGCGGTGTACAACATTGTGACAATTTTCAAACAAGAATTAGACAAATTTAAGTTTATACATAACTAATTATATAATGTTTTATTTATTACTTTATTAGAATGTACTTGTTAGGTATTCTTATTTAAATAATCTTTCCCATAGTATTTTATTGTTAAGTTAATGTACAATAAATCTTTATTTATCTAAAAATTTTGTGTTTTCATTTTGGAGAGGGGAAATGCTGTTAATACGAATGACGGCGGTAGGCTCGCCTCCTGTAGCAGTGGATTCAAAATATGCTCGGTGGAATGTGGGCCTGTCTAGTGTTAAGTTCACCACAAAGGTTGTAAAATGCTTCTTACCAGAGATATTATACAAAAGTCGTTTGTTTGGGTACCTCTTTCCCATTCGTATTTCTACCATAAAGCAATTGTTTTTGCATGGCTGTGTTTCAGTTTGAAGGAGGGGATATGGTAGTGAATTTACAGGGTACAGAGCAATAACACTTGAGTCCTTATAAATACACATATATTATTTTTTTTTTTTTTTTTACAACACAGGGGGCAAACGAGCATGCGGCTCACCTGATGGTAAGTGACTACCGCCGCCCATGATCACCTACAACACCAGCGGCATTGCAGGTGTGCTGCCGGCCTTTTAAAAAGGAATATACTCTTTTCTTGAAGGTTATGTTGTCGTATCGGTTCGGAAATACTGCTGCTGGAAGTTGATTCCAAAGAATGGTTGTATGGAAATACACATAATATTACAATCGGCACCGCCGGTTCGCACCTGTACTGCTCAGTTTGCTCCCACTTATCAGGCTATTTCTCTGCTCAATTCTCTGATTGCTCAGCAGCCAGATATTGATATATTTAATGACAAAATAGATAAATATTTAAAATGTTGTTTAAAATTTCTACGTTTGTAAAATAAACCTATGGCTCACTACATGTTTTGGGATATTGTAAGTGTGGTGAGTAATTTATAAATAAATAAATAATGTTAACAGACATTTAAAAGAGTAACTGTTGAGTTTCTTGCTGACTCTTCTCAACAGATAACTTTCCGAACATTGCATTCATAAATAAAATGGCGGTTTAAAAGGGCTTGTAAATAAGTCTATTTAAGTAAAAAAAATATTTGAACTTGATGTCTATTTGTGTAGATTCCTGTTAAAAAAGAATCTACACAGAGAGCTAATTTTTTTACCGTCTGTATGTGTAACATGTTACCTTTGAGAGTAAATAATTCGACGTACGTGTACAACTCGTGTATTTATTGTGTTTACAAGGATCCTTTGTAAATAGTGAAAATAAAATGTACCCACGTATTGTAAACAGGATTGATTTATTACTTTTTTTTTTATACAACATAGAATGGCAAACAAGCTGACGGCCCATCTGATGGAAAGTGGTAACCGTCGCCTATAGACATGAGCAGTACCATGGACATAACAGAGTATACTGTTTCGCCCATGATACCCCCCATGCGTTGCCATTCCTGAAGACTCAGGTGTTATTCCTCTGTACCCTGTAAATTCACGCCATATCCCACCCTTCCGGTATTGTGGAATGAGCTCCCTGCCGAGGTTTTCCCAAGAGACTACAGCATGGGGTTTTTCAAAAGGGGGGTAAAGAGGTTTCTTCAGGCGCGCGTAATGCCTCTGGTATTGCAGGCGTTCATAGGCTACGGTAACCACTTACCATCAGGTGGGCTGTATGCTTGTTTGCCACCTCAGTGGTATAAAATTATATATATATATATATATATATATATATATATATATATATATATATATATATATATGGCCTATTAAATTATAACTTCTTTAGTAACAAAATTTTAAGTCTATTAATAACTAAATTAATCTTGTTATCTCATATTAAGTACATTTGAATTTGAATTGTAAAAAAAAACTAATTAAATAAAATAAAATAAAAGTAATTCGATTTAATAAAACTAACAAATATATATAAAATTAGATTATTTATTATTAACATAAATATATAAATTATTATATTTATTAACAATAGTTACTTATACTGTACTTAGTGTTACTTAAAAATATATATTGTTGTTGTCTCTCAAAATATTTATTTTATTGACAATTTCTTTTTAAATCTATGCACCGCCATTGACTCTCTCTGTTTATCGTAACGGTTGACTGGTAGAGAATGTCATCAGGCATTAAGTCCGCCCTGTAGACATATTCTATTGTGTGCAAATGTATAAATAGATAAATAAATATCACGTGTCACGATGTTTGTTTATGCTTAATACTTTTTTGTACAATTTTGTTATTTGAATGTAGTAGGTAGTAAAACAAAGGATGGGTTTTTTGTTGGGTGAAAATGGTAATGGTAACCCCGCCTGCGCTAACGGGATACGCTGGCGGAGCACCAGTGAAGGGTGATAGATGAGAATGAAAACAGGCCAGTTATCCCATCGTGATGAATTCTGAGGAATTAACCATGATAGTTTCCAGGGAGAATCGCGAGGAGGTCGACCTGGTTGAGTATATTGCTAGCAATGGGATTCTCAGTCTCTATTACTAACAATCCCTTTCCCCCCTACAAAGGGTGGGTTGAGACAAGGATGGAATAATATTAGAAGAAGTTGTTGATTTTTTTCTTGTTCACTTTGTGGTATATGGCAAAACCTTATAGATTATATAGATAAAGCCTCAAGCCTTAAAAACTGGCCAACTTTTTGTTTGTTTTTTTTTATCTATATACTTTCGCATACAATGTACAAGTATCTTAACGTATTATTTAATAAATTAAATTAGTATTTACGCATTGAAAAGATGCAGAAATTATAAGACAAAATAAATATAGACATTATAAGGGAATCAGACATAACTATTTATCAAGCAAAATTGCAAAGCAAAATAAAAAAAGTTGATCCCCTTTTTTCCAAACATTTGTATGGAGATACTATCTATCTATATAATCTAAAAGCAAAATGAAGTAAAAAGTTTGTGATTAGGTAAATGTCCTGGAAATCGCATCAGTTTAGGGAATAAATATTATATCTACCAACGTAAGGCCGTGTGGGATTGATTTATAGGTACGTTATGTTTTCATTAAGTCCTATTTAAACAGGCTTTGAGCCTGTTTCAATTTCCCTCTATTTACAAGTAAAAGGCATAAAGAAACTACTACAATTGGTGATTTAAGCCTAAGAACTGTATTCTTGCTATGTGGCCCCGGCCTAGAAAAGTTCACCCCTTCCTTTCACGTGGGTGTCGTAAGAGCCGACTAAGGGAGCGCGAGAGATGGGCAGCAGCGTCTCTCTTAAAACATCTTACTACTAGCAAAACTCCCAAAGAAAAGGCTTGCAGTAGTGAACAGGTAAAGGCTGAGATGATGATGATGATGATGTTGATGATAATACTTTTCAATTCAAAAAAATGGAAAAAGACAAATATAAATTAGCGTACATTTCTCCATAAACTCAATCTGCTTATCATGCAGTGCACATTAAAGCTAAAATTGCATCCCGTGCCTTCAATGCATTACATTTATTATCACGTAATATTCCATTTAAAACTATTAGTTCGAATACTTTTTTTAGATTTAACGAATCTTTATTGTCTATTTTAAAAACTGGAGTCTCTATCACTGGCGGCACTGGGGGATAAAATGGCGCATTAATGTTAGGGATTGGAAGATATGACGGTGAGTACATAACAGAAGGGCAGTATGTCGGTACAGCAAATTCTGGAGACGAATTCTCAGGTACAAGATTAACAGTTAATGATGCTAAATAAGGTATGTACGAGTAATTTGCGACCTTAGTGCTTTCTAATAAAGTAGAAGTAGGATTGGTAGATTCTGGTGTTATATTAATTGAAGATACTGACTGTGGAGATACTGTGGGAAGTGACGTTACTGTATTACATTTGGTATAATGCACAGGATCGCTTATTCCTAATATAGTGGGAGGAGCTGTTTTTTCTTTAAAACTTTTTTCTGTTAGAGACGATAGTAATATTTGCTTTGTAATATCATTGGCTAATTCAGTCAGTGAAGGAGGAATGAGTGAATTCATTGGAGATACATTTTGGTACGATAAAATGGAATACGGATACGATATGTGAATCGGAGCATTAACTTTAGGTAAATAAGAAACTTCTGTAAATTTGTTTGCTTCTTGTTTATAGTTTTCGACTCCATGATCTGATAACATAGTATTGGTTAATCCAATTAAATTATTTGCTTCATTATTTAGATTTAAATTAGTACTAACTATTCCTGCTTTATTTATAGGTTCATACCTATGATCTGAATTTGTTACTGTTAGTGAAGAAGAAATTATATCTTGAGCATTATTTGCCTCCTTATTTATCATAGAAGTTCCTAAATAAATGTCTTCGTTAAAAATTTTATTTTTATCTGTTGATATTTGTGGAAAATTTATAGGTTGTGGTTGTAAGTTATGTAAAGAATTTAGGACTGTAAAATCTGTTACACAAGGCTGCTTTTGTAGTGGTGGCATTTGACTAGAAATAATATGAGGATTTATTGATGGTTTAAGTTTATTCTTGAGAGTCTTAGGAGAAGTATTTGCATATAATTCTAAATTATTAGGTTCAAAATTGTTGGATAGTGGCATATCCTGTCTTAGAATTTGTAAAGATGGCACACCTGCACTTGAATATTGTATATCAGGTTTTACTATATTTGAATCTTCTAGAGAAATTACTGAGTTTCTATTTATTATATTATTATTTAAATTGAGTTTATTGCAACGAGGAGGCAGTGATGATAAAGAAGTGAATTTATTTCTATCGAAAATATTTTGTGTGGAACATAGATTATTGATATTATTTTGTAATGATAAATCTACTGAGTTTTGAGCAGCATTAAGTGATTGTAAATTATCATCTTGTATTGTTATATGATTTCTAGCTATATTACTATTGTTAGGTATTTGCTGTCTTGGATTAGTATAAATGGTATTATCAATATTACCATTAGTATTTACGAAAAGATTATTATTATTATTCTTATTACAAAAACTAACATCAGATTTTCCAAAATTTAATACAGGATTTATAGAAGGATAGTTGACATTAGATAAATCGTTAACAACGTCTGTATCACTTGATATATCATTAAAGGGACTTCTTTTAAGTGGCACAACATTGTTACCAAAAACACTCAAGTTGTCAAGGAATATTTCATTTTTTGGAACATCTGCCTTTGTTGGAGTTGCAGATATAAAATTTGTTTGCGATAATAATTCATAAGAGGGCACTGAAGTTAATTTGTTACTATAACTATTTGGAGATAATGAAGTATCTAATTTAAATGGATTTACTGCATTTGGTGTTTGAGCGGGAGAAGTTGCAATTGATGAAGGTGTTGATATAGCGCTTTTTGGTGTTTGCAATGCGTTCAAAAATACAGAGGTATGTGGAATGGATGTGGATTCTGGCATATTGGATGCAAAATTACTGATTGGCGAACCAATCATTGGAATATGTGGTGGTGATTCCAATGTATTTCTAGAAATTTCTGAAGGAATACTTGATGAAAGCCCCAGAACTGTTGTTACTGGAGAATTTGATAGCGGCGGTAAAGGTTTGTCATTCAAAAGAAGTCTCTGAGCAATATTATTATATGACATCAATGGTTTAACTTCTCCGGTGAGGTTTGAAATACGAAGTTGGAGTCCACTAGTGGGAATGGTGATCTGAAAAAGACAATAGCAATATGATGTTTTTACTTTTCACAAGTTAAAGATAAAAATAATGTAATTTCATGAAATAAAAAGAAAATAGTAAAGAACTTATTTATTAGTTATATTTTTTTTTAGTTCTGTAAAACAAAAAGAAAATATATATCAATCAATTTTATTTAAAATAATTGTATTGTATTGTAAAATCTTTATTGTACATAATTTATATTGGACACATTAAAAGATTTATTTATTATTTATTTATAATTATTTATATTTTATAAATACCGACTTCAATTGTAACAAAAGTAGCAATTTTGGTCTAAAAATTTAGCTACAAAACCGATTTTGATAAAATTTCTGATACTAACCTGTAAGTATATTATTTCAGGTAAAAAATAATTTTCCAAATCAATTTAGAACCGACGGAGTTATGAGGTAACAAACATAAATAAAGAAAAAAATACAATCGAATTTTGAGAACCTATTCTTTTTGAAGTCGGATAAAAATCATTTGTCCTGACTGATTGTCAACACATAGCCAAACTACTAAATATAGAAAACTGAAATTTGATTAAATGATTGAATAAAATGATTCTTATAGATAAATACATAGATAACATTGGCATTCGCTAAGAAAGTGCTTTTTAAAATTTCAACCTATAAGAGAAACACGACACCGTACCGTGCAAAGTCGCAGGTAACAGCTAGTGTAATATAATTTTTGTAATATAAATTTCCCACATACGCACACAAAAACTGTTATAAATTATTATATATTTATTTATTTATAGCAAGCCAACAGATCGCAAATTAATAAATTAATAAAATAAATATTATTTAAAACAGCATTAAATTTGCACTCCAACGACTGCTCTGCATTACATTCGATATTATATACGAATACATTAAAAGAATGACGGCTATAAATTTAAAGTAACAAATTTGGTAGCCTATATTATATATATATATATATATATATATATATATATATATATATATAAATAATAACTATCCAGTCACTGTAACGGGAATATCAAATTTATAAAAGTGTATTGAATTTAATAGATTCCAAAGATACAGGTTCGATAGGCATAGTAAAGCAATTCTGTAACTTACTATTTTGAATAGAGATTATTATTATTGTAATAAACAATAATACTATAGTCTGCTTTATCTACTTTAGAGGTTTGCAGTAAATACATTTAATTTTTTAAACTATTTCCCATGGTAAATCTTTCTGCTCCTATTAAACGAGCCACCAATTTTTTGCTATTTCTTTTTTAAGTATAAACTAGGTCTAATTATAAAATTAAGAGAAAAAAGAATACTATACCTGCAAGAACAGATAAATTGTAAAAATGAAATTATAGGGCACCGGCATTTTAATACATATATTCACAATTTCCAGCCAGTATTGTCACAGATACTTCATAGATTAATAAAAAAAAGTCAAATTTAATTTCAGCCAGTTACAATTTTTATTTTTTTTCTATAAATTTAAATACTGGCCAGTCACAATAGTTACTAAAACTTCACATGTATTTTTTTATTACAAAAAAAGAAAAAAAAAACAAAAAGATTCTTTCATTGCCCGTTTCAATAATTGAATGATCAAATTCGAATCAAATCGATACATTTAATTTTATCTTATCACGAGAACTTATTGCGGGTTAAATTACTAAATTAATTATCGAATTAGTGAAACTATTGATATTTTAATTGTGATACTGAATACATATCATAACAATATTCGATTGGACAGCCATAACGTTGGGCAAATGAAAAATCATCGATATCAAAACATTGTGTATTTCATTAGCGTTTCTTAAACTTTTTATAGTTACATATCACTTTCGCAATTTAAACAAATCCCTGTCAACAAACAGGGATTTGTTTAATTAATCCCTCCAACCAAATATACATTAAAATATCATTTTTTAACATAAAAGAAAAAAATATGAAAAATGGTTAGTTATGAGCAAAGTTTTATATGTTGGGCCTCGAACGTACTGTATTTTTTATAAATTAAATTAACAGAAAATTTCATGCTCGACTAGTAGAGAACATCATTAGGTGTTAAGTCCGCCATATGTACACTTACTTATAGAATTGTGTATTGAAGTTTAAATAAATAAAATTCTAAAAATCCTGTACACAAATAATAAAAAAAAAAAACTACAGATAGATAGATAGATACTCTTTATTGTTTCCTCTAAAATTACAATCAACATCATCATCATCATTTCAGCTACATTTTGGTTAGGTCCTAAAAATTAGGCGGGGCGGCGGTGCTTTTTTTTTTTAATGGATGTTAATGAAATGGCAACCCCGCCCGCGCTAACAGGACAACACATGACTGGTGAGAATGAAAAGGCATATCATTTAGCTCTTCGTGATGAATAAATACACTTGGGATTCAGCAAGATGATTTCCAGGAGTGATCACGTGGAAGTTGACTATCTAGTCAACTTCCACGTGGTCTATCTAGAGTTTATAGCTAGTGCTGGGTCTGGTAGCCCGCATTACTAACAATATATAGGAGACCTACGTTGCAGCAGTAGTTGTCGGCTGATATGCTGATGAATGCTGAACTCTAAATACTCATTAGAGTACTTAATTAATTTTTTACTACTATACTAAAACATAAACTAAACTTGGAGCCTTTGAAATGTGGTGCTGGAGAAGGATGGAGAAAATTAGCTGGAGGGATCGAATTAGCAATGAGGTCCTGCTTAGGGTTAAGGAAAAAAGACAAATTATTAGAACTATTGAGGATAGAAGGGGAAAAATGTTGGGACACTTGATACGACACGACGAACTTATGAACATTATAATAGAAGGTAAGATAGAAGGAAGGAGGGGGAGAGGGAGACCGAGACATAGTTACATCAGACAGATCAAGGAAGGAGTTGGTGTCGTGTCGTGTCAAGAGGTGAAGAGACTCGCTGAAAATCATAGTGAGTGGCAAGAGCTCCACCGACAAGAGCGCAGCTCTTAAATAGGATAGATAGATAGATACTAAAGCATATATAGTGTATAGAGAATGCATATGTTCAACAGTGGACAGATAATGCCTGAAATGATGATACTATCATCACCGTCATATCATATCAGCGTTTATCTGTCCACTATTAAACATAGGCAGTTGTGTTTGCATGGTTGTGTTTCGGTTTGAAAGGTGGGATATGGCGTGAATTTACAGGGTACAGAGGAATAACACCTGAGTCCTCAGGAATGGCAACGCATGGGGGTATCATGGGCGAAACAGTATACTCTGTTATGTCCATGGTACTGCTCATGTCTATAGGCGACGGTTACCACTTTCCATCGGGTAGGCCGTCAGCTTGTTTGCCATTCTAAGTTGTATAGATTATTAGAGGAGTTTTGTCAGTAGATACCACACTTGGCTGGCGGGTTGACAACCGCAGTTAGGCTTTGGTTATGTTTTAAGAGAGACTCTGCTATCGATCCCTCGACCATTGAGTTCCTTTAGTCGCTTCATACGACACCTAGGGGAAAGAGTGGTGGCCCATTCTGTTCCAGGACTACACGACATATATAATTTTTTTTATATTTCTCTAATTTATCAAATGTCATGCAATTCAAATACCGGTTTGATATTAAACCGGTTTGATAAAACATATTACCTACTGCATAACAATATTTGTAATTATGTAGCTTATCATTTTTCGTAATTAACTTTCTATTAATTTACTTCGCAATTGCAATGCAGTTTTTGTAATATTTCCATGTAAATTGTCGGTATATATAGGACATTCGACTCTTCAATACCATCAGTCAATTCAGCGAAGTGACATTCAAAATGGCGTCCCGCATTGTAGCTGCTTTTCTCGTGCAAGCGGTTGTTTTCCAGGTGGGTAAATCGATATTGAGCCATAAAAATGCAAATTGTTGAAATGCAATTAAAAAACAATTAATGTAGTTGTTATTTTTCAATAATAACGGGACGGATATAATTATAACGCACTTATACAAAAGTAAAAAAAAGAAAGGAAATAATTCATAATTTAATGGCTTTTTTCAACTTTAAATTAGGATTCCATATTTAAACATATCGTTTTCTAAGTTCGAAATGTTTTGTTTTGGATGTTTTTCGAATTCCATATTTAAAAATTTTACTTTATTAAAAATATATGTACTCAGTCTACGACTGTAATCCCTAATAGTTATTTTTATAATTTTACAAAAAAAAAAATTAAATATATTTTTTACATTTAACTATTTCTTTTCAGGCAATATTCGCTCAAAGCTTGAATATCGTGCCACTGGACGCTTTGCTTTCGAACCAACTTCTGCTTAACCAGATCGCTCCTAACATCGTTCCAATCGCCCCTAGCGTGGTCCCCATCGCCCCTAGCGTCGTTAACTGCGATGTGCCGCTAGTAGAAACGATTGTTTCAACGCCTGTGACCGTTCCTACGACTACCATCATCCAGGACAGCACCGTAGCTAACAATTTGGCTAACGCATTGCAATTGTTGATCGTTAGTAACCTACTGAGCAATACTTTGCCAAATAAACCTGATATATTGGTCCCGGCTTGCGGTGGCGCGGTCGATTTGATATCGCCCGTTGCGGTTGGTGGTGTCAATTACGTGTACTAAGAGGAATGATTCAATAAATTTTCTTTTTTTTTTTCGTTTAAGCTGGATTTTTTATTTTCGAATTAATTTATCTTTAATACTAGATGTCGCCGTGAACTTCGTGTCACTAACAACGCCATCTATTAAAAGTAAACCGAAGTAGCGATTCCCATACAAAATTATCTATTTTAATTTTTCAATTTTCAAATATACTTTAGGGTTTCTTACACATTTTTTAACTTTTAAACCACCCCTATGTTATAACGAATAAAATAAAAAAGAAATGTTCAAATCGGTCAAGCCGTTTTTGAGTTTTAGCGAGACTAACGAACAGAAATTTGTTTATTATTTAAATAGATTAGCTGGCCGCCACAGTTTGACGTCAATTTTCCCTTTAAAAAACTGTAAAACCGAACGTCTATCTGTCAATTCTGTCAATATCCTACTGTCATTTGACTCTGTTACTTTTTTATACGGAGATTCATATCAGCTGGTAACTGTCCACTGCTGAACATAAGCCTTCCTAATAAGGCCTAATAAAACAATGAAAACAAGACAAAACACGACAATGTAAGGCGTGTTGATTTCCAGACATCATCATCTTCATCTTCCTACCCTTATCCCAATTATTATTTGGGGTCGGCGTAATATGTTTTTATCCATATTACAAATGTTGATATGTTGATTTCCAGACATATTAGATTGAAATATTAGAGTGCATGGCAATGCTTTCGCCAAGACGAGTACAGCCGTACCATACTTTTTCGTAGCGACTTACGGAACTTTGTTTTTATACAACTTAGAATGACAAATAAGCTGACGGCCCACCTGATGGAAGGTGGTAACCGTCGCACATCGTCGACATGAGCAGTACCATGGACATAACAGAGTACACTGTACACATGATATCCCCCATGCGTTGCCATTCCTAAGGACTCAGGTGTTATTCCTCTGCACCCTGTAAATTCACCCAACCTTCAAACCCAAACACAGCCATGCAAACACAACTGCTTCACGGTAGAAACACAGAATGGGACAGAGGTACCCTGCTTGGGCACCTCTGTCCAGCACCTCTTCGACTTTTGTACAAAGTCTCCCTCTGGCTTCCTTTTGACCCCTTGTGACTTTATCGTGGTCTATCTATCCTATTTAAGAGATGCGCTCTTTTCGATAAAGCTCTTGCCACTCACTACAATTTTCAGCGAGTCTCTTCACCTCTTGATACGACACGACACCAACTCCTTCCTTGATCTGCCTGATGTAACTATGTCTCGGTCTCCCTCTACCCCTCCTTCCTTCTATCTTACCTTCTATTATAATGTTCGTAAGTTCGTCGTGTCGTATCAAGTGTCCCAATATTTCTTCCCTTATTTATTATATTTATTGTGGTAAAAGAAATTTAAACTTTTGGTAACCAAAAGGACATACTATAATTAGTTATTTTCCAATATCTATACTTATAATAAATCTGTAGCGAGGTCAATTCTGTACATGAAATATATTTCCAAAATAACTATCAGCGGGTGATAAGTGATCGATACTGATGCCAAAAATGCGATCAGTAAAATTTTTGTCTGTCTGTCTGTATGTTCGTTATAGAAACAAAAACTACTCGACGTACTTTAATGAAACTTGGTACAATTATTCTTCATACTCCTGGGCAGGTTATAGTATACTTTTCATCGCGTTACGATCAATAGGAGCAGAGCAGTGAAGGGAAATGTTGGGAAAACGGGAGAAGTTACTTAATTTTTAAGCTTCCGTCGCGTGTGCAGCCTTAATGGCCACTTTTTAAAATATAAAAATGTCCACCCGTGCGACGCCGGGACGGGCCGCTAGTAAATAATAATTATACTTTATAGTTTACGAAATATCGCTACTTAGTTAGTTTACTTAGCTAAGTTCTATATTTTTATTTTATTTTTTTATTTATTTATTTAAGGAACACCAACAGCATATTGCATTATAACATATAGGTATAACAACATTAAATACAATACAATATTAATGCACATGCCTATTATAGGTATTCACAGCATTCACTTTAACGTAATTATACAGTGTAAGAAATTTAAGTAAATAACAGAAATAAACATGTAATCTAAGTTGTGAGCAAAATCAGAAAATAAGATTATGAGTAAATTAAATTAAAAAAAATATTAAAAAAATATATATATTATGACAATTAGAGTTAATGTTCATAAGATTGTTGTACAAAGTGCTTCAGCAATTTATTCCTGTAGGAATTCGAATTATCGTACACTATATCAATTTCTGGTAATTTGGCATTAATTTCATTGTATGACGCACTAATATATTTTTACCACTAACACATTTACCGTTAACTAAAATTTTAAGGTACTTCTACCTTAAACTTAAACTTTAAATTTGGAATTGTAGTTAACGTTTAGTCTATAAAGGAAGAAAAAATGTAAACCCCCGAAATTCCATTATTAATTGTTATTAAATGAAAAATAATGATTATTAAAAATTGCGTTCATTCATTCAAATTTTTTTTCTTATACAACTTAGAATGACAAATAAGCTGACGGCCCACCTGATGGAAAGTGGTAACCGTCGCCTATAGACATGAGCAGTACCGTGGACATAACAGAGTACACTGTTTCGTCCACGATACCCCCCATGCGTTGCCATTCCTGAGGACTCAGGTGTTATTCTATAGACGCATCGTGCTTGTAGTAGATATACAAAATATATTTATCATCATTATCATAGCAGCCTTTAACTGTCCATTACTGGACATAAACCTCCCCCTTGAGGGGTTTTGCTAGTAATTGTCACGCTTAGCAAGGGGTTTGGCAACCGCAGTCAAGCTTTAGAGATCTTTTAAGAGGGACGCTGCTGTCCATCCCTTACCCTCCCTTAGTTGGCTCTTACGACATCCACGGGAAAGGAAGGGGTGGCCTATTCTATGCCGGGACCACACGGCCAACAATATATATATATATACATATGAGATAAAAAAAAATGAGAATGGGACATACAAAAAGAAATAAGATCCCATTAAAAACATCGAATGTAAAAAAAACGCCAAGTCTAGCAATGCTGTTCTTCCGCTATAAAAAGTTGTAAGGTCTCATGTAAAAGCAAGTCAGTTATCGTATAGTTTATATATATATATATAGTTAGGTTTTTGATTTTTAATAAGGAACTTGGCCACAGCAGAATATCAGTGTTTTGCTCTTTTAAGGGCAAAGCAATTAACTTGTGACCATTTTGTGTTCATGTTATAAGAGGGACGTTGCTGTCCATTCCTCGACCATTAAATTTCCTTGGTTGCCTCTTTCGACACACGCGGGAATGAAAGAAAAATGAAATAAAAAAATATAATCTACCCACTTACATATGTGTATTTTTTATACAACTTAGAATGGCAAACAAGCTGACGGTCCACCTGATGGAAAGTGGTAACCGTCGCCTATAGACATGAGCAGTACTGTGGACATAACAGAGTATACTGTTTTGCCCATAATACCCCTCATGCGTTGCCATTCCTGAGGACTCAGGTGTTATTCCTCTGTACACTGTAAATTCACTGTGTTATGAACCTCTTCAAACCGAAACACAGCCATGCAAATACAACTGCTTCACGGTAGAAACACGCATGAAACTTTTGGTTATCAAGCAATCGACTTTTGTACAAAGTCTCCCTCAGGTAAATGTATAAAATATTCCAAGTTTTAAAATGAAGTAAATATTATAAAAGTAAAAAAAAATTGTGTCCTGAGCTAAAGGGAAACAAAAACGTATTTATAAACATTATTTTTTATTGTTAAAATAAATAAGAAAACAAAATATTATATAAATAGTAAACGAAATAATTTAAAACACGTAATTGTAACCGGGTAACCCGTTAACGGCAACCGGTGATACCATTTCAACCGGCGCCGCGTAATTCGGGACAACCACATCGCCCATAGTCGGTAGCGTGTTACTCAACAGGTTGCTTACGACCAGTAATTGTAAAGCGTTGGCCAAATTGTTTGCAACCGTGCTATCTTGGATTATAGTGGTCGTTGGCACGGTCACAGGGCTGGATAGAATCGTGTCGACGCAACCGGGTACTTCATAATTGACCAGGTTGGGGGCAACCGCCGGTATTACGTTCGGAGCTAGATGATTTAGTAGAATTTGATTGGGAACCACCGCTTCGCCTAGAGGTAGGAGGTTGCCATAATTTGGTATCACCCGGTTCAGTACTTGGGTAAGAGCAATCTGTAAATAAAAAAAAATAGTAAAATACTAGCTAAATGTCTGTGTGTTTGTTTATCAAGATATATTTTTTGTAGCTATTTAAAAACTACACTAAATTTCTAACGTAACAATAAACACGAAAAATTGGTACTTTATTAAGCTATATCTACGCCAATTTTGAATCGATTTTCATGATTCTTTTTTTAAACAAAAGAATTGACTTCCATATTAATTCCACAATACAATTAAGTTTGAAGTAGTTTTTATTGCAAAATAGGATATTAAAAATTTACGTATTCATACAATATCGTTATTAGAGCATCAGAACGATTTAAGTGATTCCTTTTTTCAATTAAAAGGCTAAGGCTGGTTTGTGAAAAAATATATTTGTATAAAAACAAAAATCAATTATTACTTACATTAAAAATTGCGAACTGTAGAAAGAAGAATGCAAAAGTTTTAGAAGTCATCATAGAGGTGTTGAACTAAATATCAGATGGGTAACTAATGAACGTACATACGAGGCTTTTATACTATATTTTTATCTAGTTCTCTAATGATAATCTGTTGTAGATATTAAAAATTTCAATAATAGATAAGAACATTTCCCGTGAAGAGAAGAAACACGTGATTATTACAAAATTTTTATATATTATTTTTATATTTTGAAAGAATTATACTTAACCGATTGCGTGTTCAATACAAGGCAAAAGAGGAAAGGGTTTTTTTTAATGAATGATAATGGAATGGTAATCCTGTCTGCGTTAACGTTATACGCTGGCGGGGCACCAGTGAGGGATGATAGGTGAGCATGAAAAGGCAAGTCAGTTAGTCCATCGTGATGAATATACCAGGAGTTTAGCATGGTGGTGTCTAGGGGGCACCACGTGGAGGTCGACCCGACAGGGTATATTGCTAACAATGGGACTGGTAGTCTGAATTACTAATAATCCCTTATCCCCCAAGAGGAAGGTGAAAACCGAGGAATAACTACAATACTACAAATGGCCAGACCTAATTGCCGTTGCCAATCTGCTTGCCAAGCGTGGCAACTACTGGCAAACCTCCCTTATGGGGAGGCTATATTCAGCAGTAGACAGTTCAAGGCTGGTAGAACAATCACGCTGCCTTCGGTCTAGATCTTGTAGTGAGCATGACTAGCTTCAAGTTATTTGAAAGTACTTAAGGATACTTTATTTATTTGTATTGAAGGAAGCTTACAGCTATAATAATTTAATAATTACATATATTTTCTCAAACATGCTTGGAAATGTGAGCATTATTTTAACAATCTTCTTCGAGATAAATCAAAGTTGCCGTACTGGCCTGATACATGCGGGCAGCGGCCGGCAAAAGTTGTATGAAAATCCATATCTGTCGTGTTTTGCGGCCAGATAAATTACTATATAAACTCATATCTGTCCTGTAATTTAAAAATGGAATGACCTTTTACTTCGAAACATGGCTACCAAGGAGGTAACTAATAAAAGGTTTTATTTAAATTTCGAACTGGCTTGCAAATAAAAAGCTGTTTATTGAAAAAAAAAAACAAAGGAACATTATGGCGCGTGATAAATTATTATTTTTCGTTATTCGTCATTGAACTTAAAAAGTAAAATTGTGTTTTTGATTTCCGCGCATTGTTTGAGAAATGTACTATTTCTCAAACATGCTTGGAAATGTGAGCATTATTTTGACAATCTTCTTTAAGATAAATCAAAATTGCCGTACTGGCTAGATACATGCGGACAGCGGTCGGCAAAAGTTGTATGAAAATCTATATCTGTCGTGTTTTGCGGCCAGATAAATTACTATGTAAACTCATATCTGTCCTGTAATTTAAAATGGAATGACCTTTTACCTTGAAATATGGCTACTTAGGAGATAACTAATAAAAGGTTTTATTTAAATTTCGAACTCGCTTGCAAATAGAAAAGCTGTTTATTGAAAAAAAAACAAAGGAACATTATGGCGCGTGAAAAATTATTATTGTTCGTTATTCGTCATTGAACTTAAAAAGTAAAATTATGTTTTTGATTTCCGCGCATTGTTTGAGAAAAGTACTATACAAGCCTTGGCCACAACTAGGCATTCATGGACTCACGTATGTGTGGCTTGTACAGTACATTACTGCAGCGGCCAGCAACTGAGGCATTGATGGACGAACGTGCAAATGTGGGCCGAGGCGTAGCCGAGGCACACATACGTGAGTAGAGGCCAGTACTGTACAAGCCTTGGCCACAACTAGGCATTGATGGACTCACGTATGTGTGCATCGGCTACGCCTCGGCCTACATTTGCACGTTCGTCCTTCAATGCCTCAGTTGCTGGCCGCTGCAGCAATGTATTAATAACAAAGGTAAGCCGATTGAAACTAAAAGAAATCCTACTACCTCTCCCTTTAGTACTATTTTCCTGTGTTCTCTTTTCATTTTCCTTCGTTATTCTCTCCTGTTGTATGTGTGTTATTAAATATGTGTATGTTAATGTATACATGTTTTGTATACATTAGTATCTATATAATAGTTTGCCAACTATCCTTTGTCTTTTCCTCAATGTCTTCTACCCATTTGTCTGGTTGTCTGGAAGAGACTGCTTAGCGATAAGGCCGCCTTTTGTATCACTTCTCATTAATATTTACTGTATTTGTTATTTTTTTTTTACTTAGTGCAAAAAAGTGTACTCGTACAATAAATAAATAAATTGCTGTATGGTGTCAACATAGAATGGTTGGCCTCTTCCTTTCCCCCGTGGATGTCGTAAGTGGAGACTTAGAGAATTTAACAGTCGAGGGATGGGCAGCAGCGTCCTTTTTAAAACATCACTAAAAGCATAACTGCAGTTGCTGACTCGCCTGCCAAGCGTGACAAATACCTGGGGAGGCCTGTGATCAACAATGGATAATTAACAGCTGACTGAATGATGAATAAAAGGTACTGGCAAACGCAGTGTAGGACGAACCCCCACTAGAGGGGGGAGAAGGGATTGTTAGTAATGGGGATTAGCAGCCCCATTGCTAGCAATACACCCGGTCAGGTCGACCTCCTCGTGGTTCCCCCTGGAAACCATCTTGATTAATTTATTGTTAGATTCGTCACGGTGGGCTAACGGACCTGCTTCATCTTCACCTATCACCTCTCACTGGTTCCCCGCCAGTGTATACCGATAGCGCAGGCGGGGTTACTATTCCATTATCATTTATTTAAAAAAAAAGACCCCCCACTAGATGAAGTAACGACCTGAAATGCATTGTAGGGAGTCAGTGGATGCAGGTGGCTCAGAACCGTTCTTTATGGCAGTCTATGGGGGAGGCTTATGCCCAGCAGTGGACGGATAAAGGCGGTAATGATGACGATGGTGAATGTTGAATAAATTAAAAACATTATTAGTAAGGAGGTATAAAGTGGATGAAGCAAGAAATGTATGCAATTCTTGCAACGTCATCACTTCGCATTTCTTTCTCTGTCTACCTCGTAAAGAACATGGCGTAATAAATAGATAATATGTATGTTTAAATGTTGCAACAACAGATATGAAACTGTCTTTTAATTAAACGGTGAATTAAGCAATGTAAAGGCACGTTTTTAAGATATCGTTACATGGAAATTATTTGATCACCATAACGGTGTAGTGGTTTTTTTTTATTGACGGGTGAAAATGGTATGGTAACCCCGCCTGCGCTAACGGGATACGTTGGCGGAGCACCAGTGAAGGGTGATAGATGAGAATGAAAACAGGCCAGTTGGCCCATCATGATGAATTCATCAGGAATTAACCATGATAGTTTTCAGGAAGAACCGCGAGGAGGTCGACGTGGTTGGGTATATTGCTAGCAATGGGATTCTCAGTCTCCATTACTAACAATCCCTTTCCCCCCCGGTGTAGTGGTTATACATACTGTCTTATATTCCAATGGCCATGGATTGAATTCTTGCACAATATAGATATTGCGCAGGAAGAGTATACATGGGTATTTAGTCAGCGGCGGCCTTACCCATTGCGAGGCTTTGGGCGGTAGGTGTTTGTGAGGCCCTGTGTCCTTCGTGAAAAGTAATGATGCAAAAGTAATGATGTCATGTAATATAATAATGACAAATTATATATATATATATTATAATTTATATATTTTTCCGCTGACTCAAAAAAACGATGTCTTGTTTTAACTTTTTTTTACATTTGTTTTTTTTATTTGTACATTTTAGTTGTGGTAATTTTGTTCATTGGCGATTAAAATGCCTAATTCAGCAAGTTTTTGCGACTTGCCACTAGACAAAATGCCACTCACTGGTTGTGTAAAATTTGGTTGGGTTGTTACGCGAGCCCCCTATAAGAGCGAGGCCTTGGGCGATTGCCATGTTCGCCATCCCTTAAATCCGCCGCTGATTTTAGTAATAGTTTATGTATATTATGCATTATTATTATTTATTTGACAAAAAAACACAAAGTTACAAACACAAGATACAATGGGCCCCACACTAGACGAACCTGTATCGTGGGCACCCGACAAAGATTAACAAATCACAATGTGTTATAATAAAAAGTACATAGGAGTACATGTGTTATAATAAAAAGTACATAGAAGTACATGTGTTATAATAAAAAGTACATAGGAGTACATGTGTTATAATAAAAAGTACATAGAAGTACATGTGTTATAATAAAAAGTACATAGTAACACATGTGTTATAATAAAAAGTACATGTAATTTCTGTGTGTTATCATCCTCATTATATTAGCCTTTAACTGCCCACTGCTGAACATAAGTGTCTTCCTTGGGGAGTTTTGCTAGTAGTTGCCAAGCTTCAGATATATTTAAAGAGGGACTTTGCTGCTGATCCCTCGTCCTTCCTTAGTTGTCTCTTACGACACTCACGGGATAGAAAGGGGTGGCCTATTCTATGCCAAGGCCATACGGCTAATGTTACGATGTGTTATATTTATGTATTTTTACACCGTTCGCCATTAACAGGGAATCCATCCTTACACGCTTGAACCTACATTACAATTTTACCAGAGGGAGACTTTGTACAAAAGTCGATTGCTTGGATAACTCTGCCCCATTCATGTTTCTACCGTGAAGCAGTTGTGTTTACATGGCTGTGTTTCGGTTTGAAGGGTGAGATATGACGTGAATTTACAGGGTACAGAGGAATCCTCAGGAATGGCAATGCATGGGGGGTATCATGGGCGAAACAGTATACTCTGTTATGTCCATGGTACTGCTCATGTCTATAGGCGACGGTTACCACTTTCCATCAGGTGGGCCGTCAGCTTGTTTGCCATTCTAAGTTGTATAAAAAAAAGTCTACGGACGCCTGTAACACGGTTTATAAAAGACATAATTCTAAACTAACAAACATAAAAGAAAATCCAACGATTTAGATGTCAGTCAAAAATGTGAAAAAGGAATTAAAGAAAAATGAATTAATTAAATACATAATTTTATTCATTGGGTTTATTATAAATTAGTATATAATAAATAATTTATATAGAGAACAAATCCATGCCATTATCCGATTGTAAAATAGACGTGTATGGGGATTGAAAATCTTTCTTGGATGATATCGAAGAATATGTTGGCGAGAAAGGGTCCGAGAATGGATTTGGTGATAACGCTTCATATGGGGACATTAGTGTTAAACCTGTTCTACCATTCAATGAACCCAATCCACCACCAGGCTTTATAGAAGTCATTATAGGATTAACATCTGCAAATCCTGATGAACCTACAAAGTTCGAGTTTGGCATTGAAAACGTTTGATGATTTTCGAACGTGTTTTGTTGGTGGTAAGGTTGATTCTGGACTGGTGGTGCTGGCGTTGTAGTGGGAGGGGGAGGGACGTATGTGTTTTTAATTGGAGCGTAAGAGATGGATATAGGTGTCACCGGTTCTCTTGTCTCGTACATCGGAATTCCCGGTACAACGACAGGTTCTGGACCTGCAGGTTCTTCGGGTGGGGAATTCAATATGTTATTTAATATCATTAATTGCAGCGCAATTGCCATATTGTTTAGTAGTTCCATATCGACGCTATTAGATGCTTTTGGTTCGGGCTGTGTATCTTTCAACGTTCCCAATATTGGATACGAATATTCTAATGTTGGTGTCCCTGTTGAGAGAAGATTAGCCAGAGCTGAAAGCGATATCATGTTGGGAGTAGTAGATATTGCATTTTGAGGTTTTGTCAACGTCGGAGATGTGGTTTCTAATGTTGATGAGCCTGTAAGAAGGTTGAGTAAGGCAGACAGCGATGCAACGTTGGGTGCTGTGACAGCATTTTGATTTCCCAAGTTAATAGCTGGAGATTTTGTTATCCCTTGTATACTGGGGGATACGCCTGTTATTATGTACTGTTTCACAGGCTGCGTTTGATCAGATAGCTGGAAAAAATAGAATTTATTATTAATAAATCTTTAAAAACAATGAAAGATTGTGTCTCACAGATCAAACCAATGGTGACGAAACAAAACCAGTTGTTTTGATCTAAAAACTAAATGACTGAACCGATTTCGATAAACACTCTATAAGACCAATCTGTAAGTATATCTTTTCAGATAAAAAAAAAATCCAAATCAAGCTGGGTTACCATTCTATTGTCATCAATTAAAAACACTACCCACGTAGCTAATTTTATTAAAATTCGTTCAGTTGTTTTAGCATCATTAAGTAACAATCGTTGAATCATCTTAGAAGATTTTACATATATGATATTAATAATATTAACGATACATATATATCAAATATATTTACCTGAAATAATATACTGTTTATTATTAATATATATAATATACGCTTTATGATCACAGCCATATTCTTTTAAACTTCACCAAAATCAATATGAGCATATTTATTTATGTACATACTGATATAGTTTTAATATTATCGAGATTTCAATAGAATAATTGTTAAATACAATTAATTACCTATTGGTTAATCCATTCTGTTGTAATACAATTGTTAATTATATATTTTTCTTTTATCATTTATATTTATCGATAAATGACAGTAACGTTGTATGGAAATGATTGCTTTAACGATAAGACCGTCTCTTGCGTATAATTGATAAACGTAATATTAATATGTGAAGCAAAAACTTTGTACCCCTTTTTAAGAAAATTGCGTGGATGAAGAGTATGAAATTTGGCACACTTATAGTTTATATAGAGAAGGAGTGCAGAATGATTAATTATTTTTAAAGTTACGCTGAAAAAATACATTAAGACTTTCATGTATTTTTTTTTATACACCTTAGAATGGCAAACAAGCTGACCGCCCACCTGATGGAAAGTGGTAACCGTCGCGTATTGACATGAGCGGTACAGTATTTGACACATACTATATAATTATATTATTTAAGTGGTGCAACAAATAATAAATAAAGAGTGGTGCAATAAAGAGTTAAATAAATAAATAAATAAATAAATAAATAATGTATATCTACCCATTACTGTAATTATTGTGATTAATTTAAAATTAACTATTACAGAATAATATTTGATAAACATTTATTTACACTAGTCACTCGCCCCGGATTTGTATGAGTGTACTAATGGAAAAAAATTACATTCACAGTATGGCCGTGTAACGGGTTTCATACTTTTTACACGGAGATTTTTAATTAATTTTTTTTTTATGTCTTGCGTGAATTTTCTTTTCTATACAAATCTTGTTCTGACAATTATTTCAGCCGTTAACTGTCCACTGTTGGACGTAAGCCTTCCCCGTAAGGGGAGTTTTGTCAGTAGTTGCCACGCTTGACAATAGGATTGGCAACCGTAGCTAGGTTTTTAGAAATGTTTTAGGAGGGACGCTGCTGTCTAAATAAAATAAAAATACGTAGATAGTGCTTAGCCTTACCTTACCATACACTTATAGTAGTTTTTTTTTAATGGGTGAAGATGGAATAGTAACCCCGTCTGCGCTATCGGTATACACTGGCTGGGCACCAGTGAAGGGTAACAGGTGAGTATGAAAGCAGGCCAGTTAGCCTATAGTGATCAATTGAACATGAATTAACTACTATGGTTTCCAGGGGGAACCGCGTGGAGGTCGACCTGATGGGGTATATTGCTAGCAATAAGCAATAAGGCTGTTCAATCTCATTACTAACAATCCCTTTCCCCTCTATACTTAGTAGTAAGTAATACTTGGATAAAGTATAAAAATAGTTTTTTTTTTAATGTTTTTGTAATAAACTATAAATAATAATAAAGTATTTATTAGAACCATAAAAAAAAATTACAAATTACAATTGTAGGGTAGTGCACGATAACAGCCACATTGGTTAAAAATAACTGGTGGTCGTGGCTGTCAACGCGCACCTCCTCAAGGCAGAGGCGCTAGCGTCCCAGTAGAATAAATAAACCTGTTAATTAAACAAAGAAAAAGCATGTACATGTAGCACATATATATGTGCCCAACATACATAAAAACATTCAGAAATTTAGTTTTACATTATATTATTTTATTATTTTATAATTGTTCAATGTATCAAACGTTAGAGCTTTTATCGAAAACGTTGTCTAATCCGTTTGAGATAAAACAAAATAATGTATGGTGTGACTTATCATCATCATCATCATCATCAGCTGTTAACTGTCCACTGCTGAACATAGGCCTCTCCCATAAGGGGAGTTTTGCCAGTAGTTGCCACGCTTGGTAGGCGGGTTGGTACCCGCAGTTAGGCTTTAGTGATGTTTTAAAAGGGACGCTGCTTGTCATTCTTCGAACATTAAATTCACTTAGTTACCTCTTACGACATCCACGGGAAAGGAAGGGCTGGCACATTCTATGCCGGGACCACACGGCAAAAGAACATGCAAAATTATACTCAAATAAGTTAAGTCTTTTTTTGCATATTTGCTTCTCTTCTATTCGTTACTCAGCTGTAAAACTATGATTGCATGACTGTATTTCAGTTTGTAGCGTGAGATGCCATTGAAATTACTGGGTATGGTGTAATAATACCTCTTTCTTGAGAAATGGTAAAATATAAGTGACACAGTATAAGACATCGGTCTCATACTGTGACGTCCCTAATATTGATCATGACTATCACAGGGCTGAGTAATATATAGCAGTATTTATATTGTTCACCGTGTAGGTCCCGGCATAGAATGGACCACCCCTGCCTTTCCCGTGGGTGTCGTAAAAGACGACTAAGGGAACTTATGGTGGAGGGATGGGCAGCAGCGTCCCTTTTAAAACATCTGTAAAAGCCTAACTGCGGTTGCCAACCCGCCTGCCAAGCGTGGCAACTACTGGCAAAACTCCCCTTATGGGGAAGGCTTATGTCCAACAGTGGAGAGTTAACGGCTTAAATAATCAAAATAATAATATATTGTAGTTTAACGTATCTGGATGTAGTCGCTGATCCATCTTCATGATGCGATGTCAGAAAGGGGAAGATGGAATAAGGGAGTGAAGTTCTTCTGAGAACTGTTCATGGAATAGGCGATAGAAGACACTGAGGGAGGTTATATTTCTGCGTAATTGTAGAGGTTCCAGAGTTTTGTTCACCTCAGCATCTCCCACGTTACGGAAAGCTCGTCTCTGCAGAACATCGAGAGCGAGTTGAAGGTACTGAGCGAGGTCATCCCCCTGATGTTAGCAAACCATCACACAGGGAAGAGGAAGGGATTGTTAATAATGCCGAGTACCAGTCCCATTGCTGGCAATGTACCCTTTCAGGTTAACCTCCACGTGGCCCCCCTGGAAACCATCGTGCTGAATTCTAAGTGTATTCATCACGATGGGCTAACTGACCTGCCCTTTCATTTTCATTTATCATCCCTTACTGGTGCTCCGCCAGTATATACCGATAACACAGGCGGAGTTACCATTCCATTATCATCCATTAAAAAATCCTTTATACATGACCTTACTTGTGCTTTATATAGCAGAAGAATTTTGCTCCAGTGTAAAGTACCGTAGTGTTGGCCGTGTGGTCCCGGCATAGAGCAGGCTACCCCTTCCTATACCATGGGTGTCGTAAGAGCCGACTAAGGGACTAAACCCTGACTGCATTGGGAGGAAAGGGATTGTTAGTAATGAAGACTGAGAATCCCATTGCTAGCAATATACTCAACCAGGTCGACCTCCTCGCGGTTCTCCTTGGAAACTATCATGGTTAATTCCTGATGAATTCATCATGATGGGTTAACTGGCCTGTTTTCATTTTCATCTATCACCCTTTACTGGTGCTCCGCCAGCGTATCCCGTTAGCGCAGACGGGGTTACTATACCATTTTCACCCATCAAAAAAAACCCTGACTGCGGTTGGCAATCCACCTTCCAAGCGTGGCAACTACTAGCAAAATCTCCCAATTGGGGAGACTTTTGTTCAGAAGTGGACAGTTAAGGACTGGCATGATGATGATGATGAAAGTACCGTAGTACTCTGCACATTTACCATCACATTTCTAGCTTTTTACTTTAAAAATTTCTAATCATAGAAAAAAAAAACTATATAATCACAGTGTTAAATTATTTTTATTTCAATAAATAACTTATGTTTAATTATAAATAAACTATAATACAAAACAAATTATATAACGACCTGGTTATTGCAACCGCATTGTCCATTCATTCTAGTTAATCCAGACAATAGTGATATTAAATCACCATAATTAATAGAATTAGCATTCACAACGTTGGGTTTAGCAGCTAAGGATCTCGTTATAACAGTGTTAGAAACGGTGTTAGCTAAACCGTTTGCGTTATTGATAATCCCAGAAACTGCGTTTGGTGATATGTAGTTTTTGGAATAAGAATTTGGGGTTATATTAACGGCAGAGCAGACTGGACATGTGCATATGGTAGTAGCTATGTCATTAACTAGCGGCTGTGCTATTTTGTTGAAAACCGGTTTTTTGTAACAGTTTTGCGCGAAGTTGTCCAAGATAACGCTTTGGATAGCGGATGCGAAGTTTTTACACAGTACATCACTTTCGGCTGCGGATAATATTGGAATTTGCTGTGATCTTATAACATCTGTGATGGGTACTGAAGGTTGATAATTGTTTGCCACGATTCGCTGTGCCGTTATTGCCTGCAAAAAATATATAATTATAAAAAAAAAATTAAACTACAGGATAAGCAAAACATGAAAAATATCATGGGTGACACATTATACTTTGTGATGCCAATGGCACTATTTAAATCGAACGGTGACAGTTACCATCACCCATTTTCACTAGGTGAAACGCTCCACCTGGTAACACTACCACATACTAGTAACACTGGCAATTTACAATTTTTTTTTATTGGTATTTATCCACTTTCCAATTTTATTTGTATAAATTTTCTAGATCAAACAGCTTTATTTTTTTAATACGATCTATATTTAAAACGGATAAGCGAATTTTTTTAACACAGTTTATAATTTTTTATTTACCTTCAAAATTAACGCTGCTAAGAACAAAACTTTGAATGCCATATTCGATTACAATATCACCAAACCAAATACGTGATCTGTGGTAACAACGGAGATGTTCAGTTCTTATATATAAAAATCTTATTATTAATTAGGTAACGGTTATCGATTAGCGTGTGATATCGATAATATCATCTAATTATTGTGAAATTATATTATCTTGTTTTATCCAATAACGTTAGAAGAGATGCCGTAATATTATTCACTTGGTTAACACGTCCGGCTCGGAGACTATGAAGAATTAGGGACCGTGAGGCAAAAATCTGCTACCGACTTTTTTTTTATACAACTTAGAATGGCAAACAAGCTGACGCCCCACCTGCCGGAAAGTGGTAACCGTCGCCTATAGACATGAGCAGTACCATGGACATAACAGAGTATACTGTTTCGCCCATGATACCCCCCATGCGTTGCCATACTTGAAGACTCAGGTGTTAGTCCTCTGTACCCTGTAAATTCACGCCATATCCCACCCTTCAAACCGAAACACAGCCATGCAAACACAACTGCTTCACGGTTGTAACACGAATGGGACAGAGGTACCCAAGCAATCGACTTTTGTACAAAGTCTCCCTCTGGTGAATGGACGCAGTGGGAACCGATGGTGTTGAATGAAACAACGACACTTCAGTAGGAACGATAGGAAACTTTAACAAATTCTCTCTAAGGGCAGGTCATCGAACCACAAGAAAACCTTAACAGTGAATTGTGCATTGTTAACAACGCCATCTAGTATCTGTCTTCAAATTAAATCTTCGATATAAAAATATATTTCTTAAAGAGTTAAATAATATTAAAGTCATGGTGGTTCTGAGTAGCGGTGGAGAGAAAATCAGAGGGAGATTCTGTAGAAAAGTCGTTGGTCTGGGCATTTATGTTCCTATAATAAATTCTGTATTGACATTTTACAATGCGAATAAAAAAAAACACAACTGTCCTATTAGAACTATTAAATTCTCTTTTACATAACTTAGAATGGCAAATAAGCTGATGGCCCACCTGGTGGAAAGTGGTAACCGTCGCCTATAGACTAAATTAAAGCTAGTGTCTTTTGCTAGGATAATGTTAGGATTCCAACGGTACTCCATATATCTAAATAGTTCATGTGTCTTGAAGGACCGCGTCGCAATGGGTACTAACAACCCCACAACTAATAGTCCTTCCTTTCCCGGATTACAAGTTGAGCAACATATTTATGTTTATTTAGGAGAAATCTCGACAAGGAGCTCATTCTATAACCCACGAACGCTCAGGTTATGGAATGAGCTCCCTTCTCGAATTGTCGAGGTTTTTCCAAGAGATTACAGCATGGAATTCTTCAAAAAAGGGATAAAGAGGTACCTATGTATCACTATAATTGTTAGTAATGTGGGCTACCAATCCTATTGCTAGCAAGATACGCTATCAGGTCGAACTCCACGTGGTTCCCTCTAGAAGCTATCGTGCTAAATTCCTGATGTATTCATTGATCAGTCTTTTCATCGTCACCTATCATCCCTCACTGGTGCCCTACCAGCGTATACCGTTAGCGCAGGCGGGGTTACCGTTTCATTATCATCCATTAAAATAACCTCTCGCTTACTCTTGTTTCTGTCATCAAGCAGTTCGTTCGCATAGCTGTGTGTTCGGTTTGAAAGATGGGACATGACAGAGAAATTACAACGTATAGAGGCATAACATTTTTTAGTACTCAAGAATGCATAAGAATAATACATTAACAAAGTCACTATAAATTTTATAATACCCTCCAATCGCGTAATATTCTACCGATTCCCCTGACTTAAGACGAACAGACAAATGGTCGGCCCCAGTTCAACGTCTACCGCGTAACACTCTGCCACGGGTTGCTGTTGTGTGCCTACTTACTGTGTGGAGAACTCGTGAACCCCCTGGACATTAATATCGTTCCCAAGTGTCGAGAGTGATTGGACTGATGAGACCAAAATAGATCAGCGCCATTGTGGCATTCACGTGGCGTGGCTTCCTGAATTCTGGTGCATCCTGAGCGTGTACCGCTTACGCTAAATCTGCAGTCAAGGTGAGTCCGTACCATTTGGACATACAAATCTTCTTTTATGGGATCTAGAACCCGGGCCCAGATTAGGTCTCATATTATTACTTTCGCTTCCACTTGTGCTAAGATATATTACAATTTTCATCGGCCACTTTCCTTAACAACAGGTATTACAGAGTACTCACATTCTGTGACGTCCTGTTATGCTCTTTCTCATTGGCGACGGTTCTTTAATGGATGATAATGGAATGGTAACTCCGACTGTGCTATTAGTATTCCAGGTATGGTATGGCAGGGTATCAGCGAGGCATGATAGGTGAGGACGTAAGCTAGTCAGTTGCTAAGCTATCCATCGTGACGAATTCATTAATTACGATAGTTTCTGGAGGGAACCGCGTCTCAGTGGACTTGATAGAGTACATTGCTAGCAATGGGACGTTATCATCATGGCGTGAATTTACAGGGTACAGAGGAATAATATCTGAGTACTCAGGAATAGCAACGCATGGGGGGTATCATGGGCGAAACAGTATACTCTGTTATGTCCATGGTACTGCTCATGTCTATAGGCGATGGTTACCACTTTCCGTCAGCTTGTTTGCCATTCTAAGTTGTATAAAAAAAATCATGATGATTTTTTTTCAGCTATTCACTATTCATTGCTAAACAGAAGCATTCCCCATACGGGAAGTTTTGCCTAGCAGTTGCCACGCTTGGCAGGCGGGTTGACAACCGCAGTTAGGTTTTTAAAGATGTTTTAAAAGGGACGTTGCTGCTTATACCTCGACCGTTAAGTTCCCTTAGTCGCCTCCTACGACACCCACGGGAAAGGAAGGGATGGCCTATTCTATGCCAAGACAACACGGTAGACACACGAAGCAAACTTCGTATCCCATCATTCGCCAAACAGATCAATATGTCCAGAGTGAAACTCAATCATGTGAAAGTCTTACGAAAACCATGTTACCTATTTCAATTAATCGTAATTATGTGAAATTATAATTGTGTCATAATTGCATATATAGGTAATTATTGGTATATAAAGTAAGGCGGTGTATCAAACAGTATGTCGAAGGATTAATAGGTCACCATGACGATCACATATGTGTTATTGGCTGTAACTGCTCTTTTAAATCAGGTAAATTTCTTTTTTTTTTTTGTTTATTATTTTTAATTAATTACCTTTGTGTATGATGAAAATTCCCAACAGCAACCTTCATAGAAAGCCATGTGGTCCCGGTATAGAACAGGCCACTTCTTCCTTTCCCGTGGGTGTTTCTTTTAATGAGCGATAATGGTATGATAACCCCGCCTGCGCTATCGGTATGACGGGGCACCAGTGAGAAATAACAGATGAGAATGAAAGCAGGCCAGTTAATCCATTCTGATAAATTCAATTAGAATCCACTACGATAGTTTCCAGGGGCGACCACGTGGAGGTCAATATGACAGAGTATACTGCTAGTAGTATTTGACCCCATTACTAACTTTCCCCCTTCCGTGGGTGTTGTAAGGGGCGACTAGTCACTTAGTTGCTTTAGTTTAAGGAACTTAATCACGGGGAAAGAGAAGGCAATTTAATGGTCGAGGGATGGGCAACAGCATCTCAAACATCACTAAAGTCTAATTGTGGTTGCCAATTCGTCTACTGAGCATAGGAACTACTGGCAAAACCCTACTTTTTGGAAAGGCCTATTTTCAGCAGCCAATTAGTGTATTTTATTGTGCTATGAACATTACAAAATAGAGTTTTATGTGTTGGTATTCCTGAGGACATATCCTTATCCAATCCTCTGCCAGTGATCACACTAACGCCTCATTCTCCAGATCAGAACATAATACAGATTGTTCCCTCTTGCCAGAAATTGCTAAGGTGGTGTTATTCATCCAAGTGTATTTTTTTAATGCACGAAAATGGAATGATAATCGCGCTATCGGTATATGCTGGTAGGGTACTAGTAAGAGATGATAATGTAAGGAAGAAATGTAGGTCAATTAGCCCATCGTAAAGAATTCCACAAAAATGAACCGCGATGGTTTCTTGGGGAAATCTGGAGAAGATCGACTCAATAAAGTATGTGACTAGCATGGAGCTAACCAGATATATTAGGAGACATCAGGATAAACATATAGTATAGTAGATAATATAGAGAAAGACTGTAACAAATATCATACTTTTTTATTTCAGGCTCAGTCCCAAATTTGCAATGGACCGAATTTGGCGATACAACCTGTGCATCGTACCATCGCATCGCCATCTATAAATCCAGTGCCGTTAATATCCACCACACTCGTAGACAACAGCGTGGCTAACTCTCTGGCGAACACTCTCCAACTTCTTATTGTTAGTGAACTAATAGAGAGTTCCTTGTATCCTTCATCAGTCGTTGTACCGCCTATAGTCAATAACATCAGACCTATTTATGATGCTATTGGCACTATTGGAAAGACTGTAATTGATGTTGCCCCAATTGTGGAAGTAATCGATATTGAACCAATTTACCCAGCTATTGATGTAATATATCCAACAGTTGAAATAACACCGGCTCCGGTAGTGGAGATTACAAGTAATGTAGTCAGCACTATTACTGAGGTAACGCCTGTTATTGGAGGCGTCACTGAAATCATAAAACCATTCCCTAATCATTATGGTTATACTGAAATAGTTGCACCTGTTAATGAGATAGATATATACACTACTGTCACAGAAGTCGTAAATCCGTTGCCTCTGACTCCTAAAATCTATGGTGGTTTCAATGAAATAACTACTTTCACTCCAGGTTACCTGACTGAGGTAACTGAGGTGATCGCTCCTGTGGTTGAAGTAATTACTCCATTAGTGCATGAAGTTATCGCCCCAGCTGTACCGTTGCCTTTAATTCCCGAACCCTGCGGTGTAATCCCAGATCATGTTCCTCCACCAGGTCCTGTAACATATCCAGCTGAAATTATGTTTCCTACCTCGGCTCCAGCCCATCTAAGATATAAATTCCCATGCCATTGTCCAATGCCGCATCCATTTTATTGAGGTTCATAAGTAATCATTTTCAAGTTACAAATGAATGTTTTAATTCTTTATAAAAATTATATATATATATATATAAAAAAAATTAAGGCAGTATACGAATGTACACAATGTGCATTGTGTAAGTATGAAAAAGAATATAAAATATTGGCTGTACACATGAGATTTGGAGATATTAAAGTTTTTGATGTTTTATTATATATATGTATTATTATGTATTAACTTTTCCATATTGTATGTTGTTTTGTTTCAAACATAATAAAAAATATTATTAACAATGAAATGTTTTATTATTTATTCAAAATGAAATATGATTATATTCATTTAGCGTGAGCATATATGTACCTAAACCCAGGTTCTTCTATTTCTTTCATTTCAGATAATTAAAAAAATAAAACTCTTATATTATTATTATTAAAACAATTATTTTAATTTCTTATTAAATAATTATAATTAAATATGTTCAATAAATTAATAAGACATAGTACAATTTCATTTAATTTCAATTAGACCCTGTAACAAACCGCTTGAAAGTAATAAAGGTGATATGGATGAAATGGCGTTAGTAAGGCCAGAAATAACGTTAGAAGAATCAATAACATTAGGAGAAATAACTGTAGAAGGGACGGCGGTAGGAGAAGCGACTGTAGGAGAAACGACGCCAGTTGCAAACGGATTTGCACAACCACAAGATAAAATAGGCGATGTAAATAATTCATTTATAATGGGAGAAGCTAACTGCAGCGCCAAATCGGAGCCGTCTTTGGTGTTTTGCAGCAAATTGCATACAATCATTAACTGCAAGGTGTTCGCTAAGTTTTTACATGCTGTCGGCGAACAGTCCGTAATTATGGTGGTGGAAGATGGTGGCAGTGGTAATGGTAACTGGACATTGCACGGTGATTCAGTTAAAACTGGTACAGGTTGACAAACGCAATTATTAGCTGCTTCAATCATTTCTGGCAATGGTAGAGCCAAAAGACCGTATTGGACGGGCGACTGTGCTAGAATAATCTGGAAGACAAAAAGGTTTAATTATTAAAACAATACATTATAAAATTCAAGCAACTTCAACAAAAGCTAGCGGATTTAATTGTGAGTTAATAGAATTCCCTACATTACTCTAAACGACGTAAACTAGAACACTAATAAACGAAGATTTATTCGACCGAAGCGAAAATGGCCGAAATATTTAAACACCGAAAGCTTATAAACCCAAACGTCATTTGGTCTTTTGTCATTCAAAATTTTTATGGGACCAATTTATAAGTATATATTTTCAAATAAAAAAAAATCCATTTATATATGACGGAGTGAAATACAACTGAATTCAACCTTTTTCTAAGTCGGTTGAAAACAAAAATCTGATGACTTTTCTAGAAATTATTACTGTGGTAATTGTTTCTTAAAAAAAAAAATATCATAGTAGTAATATCGATTTATCTACAAAGAGAAAGGCAAAGGAACTAAGCCATACATACTGATCTTCAGAATACTATACTATTCTAGTAAATAGATACCGCTACTCTCTTGACATTCATAAATTTTATATAATAAAAAAATAATATTAGATTTTATTTATATTGAATCGTATATAAAAATTCAATCTATAAAAACCTTCTCGAAAATATGTAATTAAGAATAGAATCCTAGTATCATCGGCGTTAAGTTCAATTTATTTTTAGCTCAAATACAACTAAAGGAAATAAAAAAAAAACGTAGTCCCTAGACAATTGATGGATTGATTGATTGAATGATTGTGATTGATAGTAACACATGTAACTAACCTGAAAGTGTAAAACCAGTAAGCAGGATATAACTAGAGGAGTTCGCGCCATTTTCAATTCAATTTAAAACTATACTTTAAATATAGAACTCAGCACAGATTATAAATAGAGATTCAACAAATAAATAAGTAAATTCCCGCCTACCAAAAACTGAACGTGATTTTTTTTTCTTTTATATTTTTCACCAGCACTTCTGGTTTTATAAATGGTGTAAATGATATTTATAGTTAATAAGCATTTTAAGTTGATATATATCCTGAAATTATCAGCTTATCAATTTGTTATTATTTGTTAAATTGATAAATTTGTTATAATTTGCTAACGAAACAATATTATACAATGCACATAACGATAATTCGATGTTAAGAAACGATCGTCTTATCCATTATTTATTTATATTTGTAATTTCTAACTTTGCTGTGCTAAAATATTTTACGTATTCGTCCAAGATACGATACGTTTACAGATAAAGGAAACAATAGGTGTCATGTCATATAGGCAAGTCAAAGATATGGCCTGGAATAGAGCTGGCTGGAAGAGATAGGATAGGAAAAAATTAAAGATCCATAGATATTTTTATGTAATCTGTGATCCTAAAATCTGACAGATTTATAGATAAAAAATTAAATTAAATTGTAAGTTGCATACTACAGTCACGTATTAATTAGAAAATTATTGAAAATATAAACAAACGACTAATTGGCCTCATCACGTATTCCTCATGTGTGTCACAGTGACAAAATTAGGTCACAGCGCGAGCAGTGCGAAACAATTAACAGTGATTTTCAGCTACAGCCTAAAATTACACGGACGGCATACCAACATCGAAACCATACTACAGGATCTACCATGAAATGCAATTCTGCATTTGCCGACTCAATATCTTAGTTTTCGTTCATACCAAAACTGGCCCAGTAAATGGAGCTTAAAATTTTGTTCGTCATAAATCCTACCATAAAATCCAATGATTTATAAACGGTATGTATTATGTAATTTTTAACATCAATTTCTGTTTCGTTCGGCCCCGAAATTTCGGAAAATTCATGGTAGACCCAGAAATTTTAAGATATAACTTAAAATCTGATTTTATTTGATCAAAAATACAACTGTGAACAGCTCATTCAAAAATCGTGCAGTAATTTTTGCGTAACCATTTTTTCGTAAACCATTATTTTAGCTTCCATTGCGTACATGTTTATGATAATTTGTAATATCTTGGGTTGACTGGAAGAGATCTCTGTCAGAAATAAGTCCACCCTTGCTCACAACATTTATAAATACATTATTTTATATGTAACTTACAAGTGCAATAAAGAATATATATCTATGGTGCTATTAATGTAATTCATGGTGTTTTGTCATTGGTGAAAATGGAACAGTAAAATTGATCATCCCGTCTGCATTATTAGTATACAATGTGGGGCACCAGAGACGGGTGATAAGTGAGAATGAAAGCAGGACAATTGGCACGTAGTGACAAGTTGAAGATGGTTTCCAGGGGGAATCCCATGGAGGACCTGTTAGAGTATACTGATAGCAATGGAGTTATTTAAATCTGTTGAAGTAGGTTTTATGTGTTATGTTAGTCTGTGGAGCTCACGCGTTGCTAGGTTACCTTTTACTGTTACTCTCAATCTAAAGTTAAATAAAATATAATATACTATATAGATTTCCCCCTTTATTTTAATTTCATCAGGTTATGGGCCAGCAAACCTAAAATAGTAAAATAATGCAGGCTCCAACTATAAGTAAGTTAATCGGCCAATCCAATTATGGATCGTGGGCATTCGCAATGCAAATGTTTTTGATTGACTTAGATTTGTGGGAGTGCGTTAATAATGAAGATTTTATACCGGATAACGCAGAGAAAAGCAAGATGGATGGTAAAGCAAGGTCAAAAAATTTGTTTAATGATAGCTGAATATCTATATCCACTTGTGAAAAATGCTAAAACGGCAAGGGAGACCTGGCTTACTTTGAAGAAGGCATACGCTGATAGTGGTTTATTACGACGTCTCACGCTATTAAAGAAACTTTTCAATATGAAGTTGAATGACTTTTCGGGAATAGAGGCATACGTCAACGAAGTGCAAGCAACCCAACAGGCGCTACAATCTATAAACCAGAAACTTGATGATGAATTCGTCGCTATAATTATGCTAGCAGGGTTACCAGAATCATACAATGGACTGGTGATGGCACTAGAACATTCTGCTAGTTCTATAACTACGGAAGCGGTTATTTCTGCTCTTTTTAAAGAAGGACAGCGGCAGCAGTCGAAGTCATCGGGCGACAATTTGGAGAACTCAGTGCTAGTGTCTAATAATAGTGCAAGTTCTAATAATCATAGTAGTAATCAACCTCGTAAAAAACAAATTATCTGTCATTTTTGTAAGAAAAAAGGTCATTTTAAATGGCAATGTAAAAAATTTATCAACAAATGTAACGTAGATAGTAACAAAGTAGGTTTAGTTACTGATATTGTTATGGGTAATAATGAGATATCCTTATTTTCAGCTAACAAATCTAGTAATATGTGGGTTGTCGATTCTGGTGCTACATCTCACATGACCTCAATTAAATCTCTCCTTGACCAACCGAAACATATTTCGAAGGTTATAACAACTGCTGATGATCATAAAATAATTTCCGAAAGTCAAGGAAAGATCAAGGTAAAATTGAATCATGAAAATCGTAACACTAAGGTAGATTTTGAAAACGTTTTATGTGTACCCAATCTCGTTACTAATATATTGTCGGTAAGCAAAATGACAGAGAATAATTATACGGTAGTATTTGACAAAAATTACTGCACGTTTTATGATAATAATAATGTTTCCATATCAGGAGTTCCTTTAATTCAAGCGAGTTTAAAGAAGGGGTTATATATTCTAGGACCTGAGCAAATAAAGACACGTAAGGATTGTGATGTTTCAACATCATTTACGGCTGCAGCTAGCAATTTTGTTAGTTTTGGTGAAGCTGATATAAATGATAATAATTTAGTATTGTGGCATAGGAGGTTAGGCCACCTGTCATATCCTCAAATGAAGATGCAACAAAAGATGGTAACAGGCTTATCTCTAAAGGGAAAACCATCAAAGCATTTTTGTGTAGCTTGTTGTCAAGGAAAGGGACAGAGAAAGAAGTTTAATAAAAGGAAACATAAGCGTGCACGTGATATTTTAGAATTAGTACATACTGATTTAATCGGTCCTCTTGATCCATCCTGGGGAGGAGCGAAATATTGTCTAGTTCTAGTAGATGATTTTAGTAGAAAGGTATTCGGGTATCTGTTATCGTCTAAGACTGAAGTATTTTCTAAATTTTGTTCATTTGTTGCTTTTGTCGAGAATCAGACTGGTAAGAAAATAAAGCGACTTCGTAGCGACAATGGTACAGAATATACAAATAAAGAATTTCAAAATTATTTAGAACGTCGCGGTATTAAACACGAGAGAACTGTACCTCACACACCAGAACAAAACGGTGTAGCGGAACGAACCAATAGGACGATAGTTGAAAAGGCTAGGTGCATGTTACATGATAATAATCTTGATCAGAGATTTTGGGGTGAAGCTTTGAATTGTGCTATATATTTAAAGAACAGATCACCCACTATGGCTCTTTCAAATAAAGTTCCTGAAGAAGTTTGGACAGGTAAGAAAGTAGATCTCTCTCATCTAAGAGTATTTGGATCATCTGCACAAGTCCTTATAAAAGATGGTAGTAGAAAGAAGATGGATTCAAAGACAGTAGAGATGACAATGATTGGATATAGTGATATGGGTTATAAATTCGTAAACTTGGCCAACCCAAAGCGATTTATAGTTGCTCGTGATGCGATTTTTAATGAAAAGATAACAGAGAGATATATAGGTCGAGAAAATAATAATCCTTTTAAATTTGGTCCAATAACATCAGATGTAGTGGCGGTTCCATGTGAAAGTAAAAGACTTCGAAATCTTGAGAATATAAATGTGCCTATTGATATTACGAAGATCACACAACAACTACACACAGAACCTGTTCGCCAAGATGTTTCAAGCACGACAGACGTGGATGAGGTATTCCATGATTCTATTTGTACTGAACCAGGTGAAATTATGGTTGACTCTACAGAATCAGCTGAAAGAGGTATAAATGATCGAAATGGTATACAAGAGCTAGTGACTCAAGAAAGAAGGTATCCATTAAGAGATAGACGTTTGATTAGAGATCCAGATATGGTCTATAACTTTTATATGTCTGATGGTGCTGACCCTGTGTCTGTACAAGATGCTGAACAACGTTCAGATAGAGAGCTGTGGCAAAAAGCCATGGAAGACGAATACAGTTCTTTGATAGCAAATCATACATGGGAACTAGTTGATCGACCTAGAGATGCAAATGTTGTTAAATGTAAATGGGTTTTTAAACTTAAGACAAATACTGATGCTTCGATTCAACGTTACAAAGCGAGGCTAGTCGCAAAAGGTTTTTCGCAAAAGTGGGGTAAAGATTATTTCGAGACTTTTGCTCCAGTAGTGAAATTATCTTCTATGAGACTATTGATAGCCTTGGCAGCTGAAATGGATCTAAAAATTCATCATATAGACGTAACAACGGCTTTTCTTCATGGAGATCTTAGTGAAGATATATATATGGAACAGCCAGAATCATTCGTTCAAAACCCTATTAAAGTATGTAAGTTAAAAAAGGCTATTTATGGATTAAAACAGGCTGCGCGATGTTGGAATGAGAAGATTCATTCTTGCATTGTTGATATCGGTTTTGAAAGGTCTAAATATGATCCTTGCGTATATTTGAAGCGATCAAGCAAATATTTTATAGCGATAGGTCTTTATGTAGATGATTTCTATATTTTTGGAACTGATTTAAAACAAATACAATCAGTTAAAGACAAAATTGGAAAAGCTTTTAAGATTAAAGATTTAGGAGAGGCCAAAGACTGTCTTGGAATGCGAATTACGCGAAATCTGGATAAAGGTGAAATTAGTTTAGATCAAAGCCATTACACACAAAAGATTTTGAGTAAATTTGGAATGCAGGATTGCAAGTCTCTGAAGACTCCTATGGAGTGCGGCTTGAAGTTGGAAAAAGGGGAAACCAACGAGATTGCCAACTATCAAGAAATCATAGGTTCCTTAATGTATCTGTCATGTGCTTCAAGACCAGATATTAGTTTTGCGGTGAGCTACTTAAGTCAATTTTGTTCTTGTGCTGGATCATCAC